CTAGTAGCGACGACCTTTGCTACTAGTAGCTTCTTGTTACTAGTAGTGTATTTCCGTTCAAAACTGGGAGCAACACTTGCAATTGTAGGAAGAGTTGCAGTTCAACACCCTGCTCTATTCAACGGATCGGGCTTGCATTTTCACAGAATCGACAAAAAGACTTGAATTAGTTATGAATATATGCACATATTTTAAGCTATTGATAGCTACTGTATAAGGTAGTAAGTGTGCATTGACAAATTGAACTTTCTCCACCCAATCAACTGAAACATCGTGCAAATTTGCAGGTTGTTGGGTGTCGTTCACTTTTGCAGGCAAAGCACCGAGTCTGGAAACTATGGCAGCAGCTAGGCCACTCAGGCAACCAAGAAGCGACTTTGTGAGCCTGGCATGGCAACGCCTCTAGGCGAAGGATGGCGAATGCATGTGTCAGTGCCTACAAGGAATGCCTTGGTCATCCAAAACAGTGGATAGAAAATGGATCTGTGTTTGGAAACCAGTCGGAAAGCTGAATTTTTGGAATGTTCTAGATTCTATCAACTGGTTTCGATTATTCACTGGTTTGGATGACATCGGATGACTATCATCACTTCCTTGAAATTATTTACGGCCACCCCAAGACCGCAAAATCAGGCTTTTACAGCCAAGCCTCGTTTCATGAAGGCTGGTTCTCCCTTGCGGCTCGATCGCCCTCGATCACCCTCCATCACACGTTTCATGAAGGCTTCCACGAATCGGTCTGCACTGGTCTACACGGGTGGGCTTGGCTTGTTGCATGTTCCATCACCTGCGTACGTGCTCATGGAGAAACACTGGGCACAACATCCCCTGCGAAGAGTGGCCACTTTTGGAAACGGTACCTGAGAGTCACTTAGTTGGTTGAGTATGTACCTGACTTCTGGTCTGGCTCACCAGCTGCAGTCATTTGATCTGTGATCAGGCATTTGAACTTCCGGGTACCTCAAAAGCCGATCCGGGATGTGAGACCTAAGACCGGGTCTCACCTCCTCTCCACTTTTTGGGAGGGGAGCGATCTGCGGCCTGGGTGTTCCGGTGATCAAGCGGTGACCAACTGGTATCCGAAAGGTCATTTGGCTTCAGGAGGAGGTGCGGGGTCATGGTTTTCCTTCTTCGCCTCAATGGACCCACGGCACCGAGGAAAAGAGTCTCTCTCCCAGTTTCGGTCGGGGTGCCATGGAGGTTACGGCCAGGGACTCTCCCCTGTCACATGCACTCCACACCATGGACTCAACACCCAAGTCCATGGGACACTCCTGGAGTCAGGGTGCCCAAAACCACGAACAAGTCCATGTGAGTGAACCTGGAGTGAACCTCCTCCTGAAGCCAACCACCTTATGGGTCGATGTTGGATACCCGGTTTGGGTCACCATGGCAACGGAACGCCCAGGCCGCAGATCGCCCCGCACCTCCCACCGCCGGACTGGGACATCCGCAGAAACGGCTCGCCTCCAGCGTCTCAAAGGGTGCTCACCTCAATGACCTGTCGATTGCTCGCTCGACGCGTCTCATTTTTTGGAGTGTCCTGGGCCCACTGGGGACCTGGCACACTGGGTTCCACATATCAAGTAATAAATCTTGTACATGACTTACACTAATATAGGATGTCTGAAGGGGATTGTAGACATTGTAGGTCATTGATGAGGGGGAATGTAGGTCATTGATACCTCGGACTATCGTATCAGGCTCCATGTCATCAAATTCACGACCACATTTGTTAAATTATAAGTCATTACATGTCATTACTTTACACGTTTTGGCAGTTATGCACAGGGCGGTTTCAGGGTAGAAGCTGGCACTGGCCACTCTCAAGGGGCTACTCTTTGAGGGGCGCCTGCACATGCTACACTCCCTGAAGTAATCATCGAAATGGAGTTCACCACCCACCTGTTTGGTCTTTGGATGATCATCCGAGAAGACTCGGGGCCATGCCATCTAATCTTCCAACAAACTCTGAGGGCCGCTCAAACCACTCACGACAACCCAGGCCTCCTCATCATCATTGAGAGCCCTTGGTTGGACACGGGCACGATCGTGAAATCCGGGTGGACGGACTTCGACCTCATCATTAAGAACTATATACTGATTACTGGTGTGCGAAGGAAAGCTAACTTAGTCTTCTAAGATCTACGAAGTGTCCTCTGCCACCTGGGTCAAAGGATGTGGGTCCGAGCCACCTGGTTCCACCTGCCTGTGACCACTGGTTTAACCAGGGGTCAAAGACTCGCTGTGCGCTGGTCGGTGCCCCCAGAAAGGTTCACTTGGCGGCCCATGAGTGCTGAAGCTGGTGAAGCTGGATCCACGATTGTTGAGGTGCATCAACCATCAAGATTGTTGGTGTGAGTATATGTGAGTTATTCAATCTGGTCACCCAGTGATGGTTTTGATCAACCATCCGCAAATCCGACCGTATCAAAGTTTCTGGAGTGTTCAGGGGAGATCCACTGGTAGTGCAGGGTACTCTATTGAAGAACCCCTTGGAAAGTGCTGGTTGCTTCATTTTCGTCGTCTCTTGTCCAAGCAGTGAAACACTTATCACTCCGCTTCACAGGTGCGCCTTTCCCCCCACTTCACTCCAGTCAGGAAGCCTAAACAACCAGAAAGACCTGGATGTTCCCAGAAACATAGGATCTCACTTGCCATCTGTTGGAACAACTGGGTTGTAGAAGAAAATACTCTTCCAGTCTGGTCCATTTTCAGGTTCCATGTGGGTCTCTTCCCGGGTGTATATTGGAACAACCATTGGTTTTTGGTCGTTTTCGGGTTCCGAAGTGCGTGGCGTTGATTTGCAGATTGGTTTTCCGCAAGCGAACAAATGGGAAACCTGCTCTCCAAGAAGCCGGGAAAAGACACAGTTCTGTGCTGACAAAGGGTCTAACCACCGAACCTGAGGATATGTATGGGCCAGGAACCCTAGGAATTGTTCACCAATTTTTTTGGAGTTCTGTTGCCATTGGATCTTGAGCCTCCACGATCGTAGGTGGATCCAAGTTCTAATCCTTTGGACGTGGGCCAGTCACTTGTTTCAAACTTTTCTGGTGGAGGGTTTCGTCCATGACGAGAGCTTAGATAGTCACTCCTTCAAAAGAACCCGAGGCAGCTGCCACACGGACATGTTCAATTCTGCATTTGTTCGAACCCTATGTTCCCCTTCTTCCGGCTCTTGGCACAAAGCCCGAGCTTTGGATGATGCAAAAAGTGAATCCAAAGAGTTAAAGCCTTTGAGTGTGAACAATCAGTATTCCAACTACCAAACAACCCACACCTCAATTGTTCCCTTCACCCTTCAGAACTTGATTGTCCCATCCCATCATTCATCATCCCATCTGTTCGATTCACCAAACACTCACACACTTGTTCCCACCAGTGGGCGCACACCATTTTCACAAGACTACATTCATATACCCCCCCCAACACCCATCCGGCCTTCAAGGAAAATAAACCATTCAACAAACTCTCTGCCACCCCGGCGAGCGGTTAAGTGTTCTGCCGTGTGGCTCCGGCTGCGCCGAGGGGACCTTCGCGTCCAGCGGCGTTCCCGCGGCATGCTCCATGGGCTCCTGCCCATCGGAAAACGGTTGGTGGCCATCAGAAAACTCTGTGAGTTCCTGCCAGGACATACCATGCTGCGACGCAAAAAAAATTATCCCGGCAAGAGACCCCAAACAGTGTGTGTGTGTGAGGTCTATAAGCAGAAAGTCTAGAGATCTAGACGCATTGGGGTGATGAAGGTGGAGATCGTGGTGATGGTGGCAGTGGTGGTGAGGGTGAGAGTGAGAGTGTGAGAGTGTGTGTGAGTGAGTGAGTGAGTGTGTGTGTGTGTGTGAGCGAGAGTGGGGACTGGGTGTGAGTGAGAGCGATTGTGAGTGTGAGCGTGCGCGAGTATGAGTGAGAGCGAGAGGTGGGCCTCTGAGAGCACAAAGTGCTGCGCCTGCCGCGAAATCTGCACTTCGAGGTTCACAAAGCGCTGTGCTTGCCACGAAATCTTGGTCTTGTCAATGTCTAAATACCATTCTCGCAGCGCACTCAAACCGTACGCCGCTTTCAGCATTCGTGCCACTCCATTCGGCGGCATCTGCAATCCAGCAGCCAGTTCAGCCACGGGCTGAAGGAAGATGTCTCTGGACTTCGGGGTCTCTCCTCCTTGAAGAAACGTACTCTTAGCATCTGCTTTCCATTGAGGCCACCGACGGTGGCAGGAGAGCCACAAAGAAGTTGGCGTGATCGCCTCGTCAAGGTGGGCGCACATGTGTTTCCAGCATCTCCAAATCTGGATCGCTGTATCCGAGCAGCACAATCCTGGCCTTGCATTTCACCTTAATGGGGTCGTCATCGACCTTTTTGAAGACCAGCGCCCAGCGAGTCCTCGTCAAGCGGCCAGGAGGACCAGGAGGAACAATTCCCACGAAGCCCTCGCGCACCTTTTGACCAAGCCACTGGTCAACTTCCAGCTGTTTGGCGTTGGCCATTGCAGCTCGTTGCGTCTTGTCCAACGTGGCCCATGAGACCTCGGCACCTTTCTGGACAGACTTGGCAATGAACTTCGACGGATTCTTCAGCACTTTCTTCGATTCGGCTTCGGAGCTGGGTCACATGCCTCATCTACTACCAGGAAGGTGCGTGCAGTGTCCTTTGCTTCACATGCAGAGGTCGGTCTTCAAGTACATGAGCTCTTCGGGCACGTCGAAAGGCTTGTTAAGCTTCAGTCAAAGTGTCCTCCGACAAACGCTTCAGAGGCAAGTAGGAGGGATCTTCGACTGCCATCAACTTCTGCAGTTATAGCTGTTCTTGAACCATTTCTTCCACGAGACGGTCGTCCTGATCATTGTTCCTCATCGTCAGATGAAGGGACGTGAGGCAAAGCTTCGGCTGGCCTCGGAGCTGCCTGATCTCGTGGTTCGGCAGAATCTCCTCTTGCTGGTCTTGAGGAAGCTCGGCCACCTCTGCTGTGACTTCTCCTTGAAGCTCTTGCTGGTGTTCTTGGTCTTGGGCGTTCATAGACATGAGTCAGATCATGTCAGATCTTATTGTCCTCCATCCAGTGAGCGACCAAGTGCAGCCACTGTCCAAGGCAAAGTTGGTGCTTCTGTAGCTTCAGCTATGAGCTTCTCACGTTCTGTTGCATGGCGCAGCTGAGTGCTATGAGCTTTCTTCAACCGGTTGCCGGCCACGATCCATTCGAGGTTCACAAAGCGCTGCGCCTGCCACGAAATATGCGCTTCGAGGTTCATGTGGCTGCCACGAAATCTGCGCGTCGAGGTTCACAGACTGCTGTGCCTGCCACAAAATCTGCACTTCGAAAAGTGCCGCACGTGCCACGAAATCTGCAAACGAGCCACATGTCCAAAAGTCACGGTTCACTGCACCTGTCACGAAATCAGATCGCCTCGAAGATCACGACCATGTCCAAAGCACTGCACATGCCATGAAATCTGCACTTCAAAGTTAAGCCGCTCCGATCCGTTGCACCTGTCACTAAAAGTCGACTTTGAACAACCAAAACATGAGGTTTCCCTTGTGCCTGCCACGAAAAGTGACCGCCATGTACAAAAATGCGCACGGCACCACAACGAGAGCGCAGTCGCGACAAGCACCCGCCGCCGCCACCCAGATTTCGCGAGCCTGCGCAGTCGAAATGCACTTGGAGGATATCGAGAAGCATGAATGTACTGTAAATAGCAGCGAATTAGCCGGTCACGGCCGCGCGCCCCAGCGATCTAAGCACAGCTGCTTAACCATTACCGTAAGAACTCCTAAGTGTGTCGCAGTCGTGAGCGCGGACCCGGTGGAATGGACATGGTCGGCCGCGACCTCGGCGCCGTCCTCCCATCGAATGGGCCGGTCTTGTTGCCAGGAGCCACGGCGAGTGAAGCCCTGCGGTGCGAGTACAGCAGTGGGGGGCGACGAGTGAGGTTCTGGGAGCTCGGAGCGAAGCCGGAAGATGGAAGGAGTGATGCTGAGTTGCTGGGAGTTGAAGCCGGAAGACACCATCTTCTCACCCATAGGGTAAACAAACCATCTCCCTAAAGATCCTGAAGGTCCTAAAGCAAAACCAAGTTGGAGAAACATTGGCACGACGTGAAGAGGACAATGCAGCCCAAAAGGCTGAGGATTGGACAGTTCCGTAAACACGACAAATAGGACTGTCACCTGGGACTGTCGTATTTTCCGGTACAACTGACTGTCACTGACTTGAACTGTCACTAGGACTATCGTATCAAGTCAATGGAACTGTCACTTGATTTGGGGGATCACTGTAGGCTTCCATACATGGAATGTCCAAGACCAGCATGTTTTCATTTGTATCTACTCCAACCAGCTATGATCTCCAACGAGCAGCAAAATGCACAACCACTGAATATAATTATATAGGTGATCCAACATGGAATTAACATGTCCTAGGTGGAGTCATGGACCTGTGACAGTGAAGTACTGATAGAGCGCCTGGCCTCGCCTGGCCTTCTCAAGACTCAAACGTTTGAAGCTGGAGCTGTGAGAGCCCTGGGATGAGTTCGGCAACTACAAGTAATCCCCTCATTGCTTGTCTGCTTGGCATGCTTGGCTTCCTCTCTGTGGGCCCTCTCCGCGCACGGCTGCAAAGATCACCATGTGCAGGTTGACTGACATCATACCAACTCGCTTACAACCCCTAAACCCGCCTCGCAACAAACCTCCTACTCCTCATTCTCCCATTGATTGGGTTGGGTCGACCCCCGTCTGCTGTTCGCCTTGGCGTTGGTGTAAACGCCCACACCATGTCTTCGCCCAGAGACCTGGGCCGAAGACGCGCAGCACGCAGACGAGCGAGCGTCCGACGTGGCAAGGCTTGCCTGGCGGAGGGGGAGATTGGTCCCTAGGGCTCCTGGCCTACCTCCTGAGGTTCAGTGGGCCAGGGGTGGGTCTACCGGGGGTCGTGCTCTAACTACAGGTCCTCGGTGCTTGGAGCCCTAGGGGGTACGTTGTAACCCTCTGCGAAGTGAACTCCCCAAGTGTTTTTGTTTCGTTCGATGTCCCGGGCTGCTATCTCCGGCAGCCCACCGGCAGCCCGCGTGAGATGGGGGGTGGACACGTATGGACATGCCTTTGTCTTCGGAAGTCCATCTCCAGTCGACCTCCCAAGAACTCATTCCGACCCCCTCAGTCGTCCTGAAAAAGCAAACGAGGTCAACCTTATTCCACCAGTTCTGCCTGTTCTTGTTTAGTGGAGAAACCCATGTTTCCCCCAACAGAAGGCTGTGCAGTTTATCCACTTTTCTTGCGTATACTCGTTTCAATGTTTTCCAAACAATCAAACTCCTATGTTGCATTCCTTGGGCTCAATTGCCTTCGTTTTTCTGGTGGGTGGTTTCAAGAATGAACAAAAACCTGACATGGTCAACCTACCCTGGTGAGTTTGGGACTCCGGGTGCCATGACCCACAACCAAACATGTCAAAAGGTCCAATCTCGGTTGACCTTTCACCAGGGTTGGTTGACCATGTCACGCTACGTCTCTTCTGGTCATTCGCCAGATATTCCGCAGAATCCGGGCCCGAACCAACACCCGTTTCGGACCAGGCCCCGCGTGCCACGGACCAACGGGTCCGCAACCCCTGCGTGCCGTGAACGATTCGGTCGACCCAAGCCCACGGACCCATTGCCCCTCGTAGCGCCGGCCATCCTGAAATGGGCCAAGCCATCGTAGCGCTGGATAGCACATGATAGCTACAGTAGGTGTGCCCAAATAGAAAACATATGTATCATTCTAAGGATAGGAATAATATATAACATACAATAGATAGACAAATAGAGATAGATAGAGAGATGATGGAATATGTAAGAAAAACATATACTTTAGCTAATGGATGATGATGGATGTTCTTTATGTTAAACATATATTGCAATGAACTCTTGGCTTTCATAAGGAAGAATGAGTTCAGCGAAAGGCGTTCAGTCACAGAAACTGTCGATGAGTTCCGCTCCCTTCGATGTGTTCTTGTCGTCCAAAACAAGAGTTAATTCCTTTCGCCTGATGTTGTTTTCAAACATTGTTTTCAAACATAGTCTTCATCTTAGGAATTTGGAAACCAGTGTAGCCGCAGCTTGTTCTGTTGCACATCAAGTAAAACTTGCAGTCAACCCTACACATTGGGACTATGGCAAACAAAGCTGCATTGTAACTGCACATATTTTACACTTGCACCACGATCTCCTTCAGGAGAACCTTTATGATCCCTTTTGCAAGTCCGGTTCTTTGAAAAACTTTCGACCCAAAAGGGGTGAAGCAAACCCGTTGAGTGCAGAAAACCGACCCTCGATGGGGAAGTTAACACTCCTTCCTGCTGTTGTAAACCACATCGTTTGACCGATGGCATGTTGACATGCATTTTAGCATATATATATATATATGCGTTCCATTCTGAACCTCTTGATCCTTAACTTGGTTTGCAAGCGAAGACGACCTTTCACGTATCCAACTATCGACCATTCACAGGGGTATGTGTTCAGTACCAAGTCCAAACACAAGGCTCGATCCCATGGCTCGTCAAACGAAAGGACACAACCCTAGGGCTCCTGGCCTACCTCCTGAGAAGGTGGTCAGGGTGGGTGCCAGGGGGTCTAACCACCTTCTGAGCATATGGTCGGAGCCCTAGGGCAAAATCTGGGTATGTTCATATCAACATCTGGTAAAGAGGCATGTCGCTTGACCAGCCAAAGAGGTGAGACAGTCGTATCAAAGGCCTGGCAATTGGTTCATCCTTCTGACCGTCTTTTTCAATATGTTTTTCCTCTACATCGCCTCGATTCAAGAGCAGCATCGTTGCCACTCTCCTGACTCCCAAGCCATTTCCCATGAACAATTCATGACATAGTGGGGAAACCAACTCCCTCCCAAACAAGTTTTGCAGGTGATTTGGTGCTTCCTGGCTATGTCGCCATGCCCAAACCCGTCCCAGCTCATCTACCCAGCTTGTCCCGACCTCCCTCGCAGCCAGTCCCACGCAGCTCGCGGCTTGCGCGTTCACACGCCCGCGCGACTCGAGTGAGACACGCGCCTGCCATGAGAAGGTGCCTTGACCGTGTTTCCGGTCCTGCCACGGCCGCGGCGGAACGGACACCCACCCGGAGAAAGCCGCCCACCGAGCGTACCGGTCGGGGAATAACCCGCGTACCCGGTGCGTTGCGAAGCGGGACGGTCCGCAGCGTCCGCAACGAGAAGCAGTTCGTTTCTCAGTATAAGCGTCTGAAGGGGCAAAGAATGGAGAGAAAGAAGAACATCCATGACCACTTGCATGTGTTATATGCTTAAAGATGTTTTGAGGAGATTCATGCATTGGAGATTATCTGAGATCACGTGCTGTACTCGCAAATAATGATACATGCATAGCGGTTCTAATTTTGAAATGTTTGGATGTTCTGGCAGATCAGAGCGAACTGACCCCCTGCTTACATGTTCTCTCTGCCTTTGAAGTACTTTGGCCGAGCAACCCCTTCGGCATGGAAATCACACCATGTTGACAAAACAATCCTTTGAGTATGCAGCCCCTCAAAATATAGACGGATAAGGATAAGTGATTCAAGATGTATTGAACTCTAATGTAGGGAAACAAAAGGCCACAATTGTCAAGCAACAAGGACAGGATAGCCTTATGCATGAGGCTGCTCGAAAGGCCATGCAGCTTCTGACAGTTGGCTCAAACTGAACTGACGTCTACGCAGGGGAAACCAGCCCACAAATGAAACGCATGAATGTACCAGGCTAAAATGGCCTCGACCTTGACCCCTCAACTGTCGTATACGAGTCTTCGCAGCGCCTCCAATTCCGTTGAAAAGGGAAATGACCACAACCAGTACTGCAGGTTCGTCAAGAAAAGATCAGAAGATTCGGTGTGGTCACTAAAGGTTCAAGTTTCAAGCCCTTGTTTTGCTGACAAATGAGACAAGGTCCGTGAGTCAAGTCTACAACCTGACAGGTTTGTGGAGAAAAACCGGCTTCCACTGGGTCCCATGTTCAGGTTCTCTTTTCAACTATGGGTGTATATATTGGGTCTATCCGAGTCTACCTGGGCCCAGTGGATGATGATGGATAGTAAAGGCCTTGTTCCAACATAGTGATGTTCTTGTTTACTGACTGTTACAGGTAAGAACGGACAAACCCAATGTATATTTGTCTGTTCCACACATCAAATAGTTCAGCATAGGTCCAATGATTTGCCCCAGATTCCGTCTCTAAACTTCTCTAAGCTTTGTGTTTTGGCTACTTCTGTGTCCACCCCAACTGCGGTTCTCAACCGCCTCGGCATACTGCCCCACATACCGCCGGCCGTCAGGCCACTGCATCACCTGAGCAGGTCATGGCGTGAGGTCCAGTGCCAGAAGCACAATCAATGGGAAGATTGACCAACCACCATGGCTGATGTCCGCTTGTACCTGAAGTAGGGTCGCAAGCCTACTCATACTACATGCTTGACATGCTTGACAGGGGTGTGGATGTTTCCTACCTGCCTCAACTGGTGGTTGACCAAGAGTTCGGTAAAACCAACTGTTCGGCAAATCTGCCAAGAGGTGATTGACCAAGAGGTGATGTATTGACCTGTCTCAGACTGGAAGATTAACCAACAAGCAGTTCCAAAGGCATGGTTTTTGGTCCCAGTGAGTGGATGCTCTGGGCACTCTTATCCTTTAATAGGCTGGACTCAATATTGATTCCCCAAGAACATCAACCCTCCAACATCAGGGGTGGTGCTGGCAGCCCCTTGCAACATCACATCAGAAACATATACAAACCCTTGGATTTGCACAGTGGAAGCGGGTACAGAAGGCTGGAACAAAAAAAACATGTAGAATGCACACAACACATCTGTATGATAAAGGTGATTTACCCAGTTGGGGAACATCAAAATCACCCCTTTCTCCATCCTTCACTTTTGGAGCTTCGGGCACGGCACCCCCTTCTCCGGGCTTCCGTGCTGCGGCTCCGTGGAACTTGTTCTCTCGGAACCTGGGAGATGATGGAAGACTTGTTCTCTCTTAGGCCTTGGATGATTCGAAACGGCCTGGGTTCTTAGGCCTTTTGGTTGGATTCTTAGGCCTTTTTTGGGGGGATTCTTAGGCCGCAGGCATCATCTTGGATGATTGGATTGATTTGGAGATGATGGTTCATCTTGTTTCATGCGACTTCGGCCTCGGAGATTGGAGTGGAATACGATATCTGGCCCTTGTTTCCTCAAGTTGCTTCATCTTGAAGACTCATATCTTTTAGTTCCCAACCGGAGGAAAAGAACGGAGACATCGGAGACATGCCTGGACCCAGCCTGTCGGGGTGTTCAATGGAGAACCGGGTTTGGGTGTTCACAGGTAGGGCCGGGTTAGTCCAGCCAGGAGACCTTGTAAGGCAAGGTGTTGGTATTGGTTCAGACTTGGTGACTTGCCCGGTGTGTCGGATGTCTCAAATCACAACAATTGATCAAAAAGGTGACTCATGTATATACCATAAGACCCCAGAACCTGAAAAATTGACAGTTCTAAAAAATAAACGATGTTTGATGAGGAAAAACGTTTTTCTTGATTTTGTGCATTTTGAGGGCATGCTGTCTGAAGTACATGGCCAGGCAAACGCACACATCATCCCCTTTTTATTCCTCTCAACTTTGCTATTCATATCTTGATGTGCCCACCTTCCTCCAAACATGGGAACTTGTCATTATAGACATCTTAGACATGGCACCAAGCTACTTCAGAGTCCTGCGATCCTTTCTGATTTCTGAAGGAGCGATGCCAGGTTTCAGATGAACACATGTGCCGAAAGAAAGAACAACTGTGTGTTTGTGGTCTGAAAGCAGTCTACAAAAAGCATGTTTCTTTTTCTTTCACCCCTAGAAACTGAAGTGCTTCAAGATCAATCCGAATTGGCACGTTGCCGGCATCACATGGGAGTGATCAATTCTCCTCATGGACACCTTCAAATGGCATACTCCGGAACCCATATGTTGTTACGGGTTCCCTACGGGTTACGACGGGTTTTTTACGGGTTCCCCACGGGTTAGGAAAAACGTATTTTTTTGAAAAAACGGTTTCTCCAGTATGACCCACGGGTATAGACGGGTTCCTCACGCTTATAGACGGGTTCCCCACGGGAACCTGAAAATTTGGATGGTTGGGGGGGCTTCTTGTCAATAAAGTCCGTTCGACAACCTGCGGAAAACACAAGATGTTTGGAGACCTATTTTTCTGAGAGTGTTACTTTCAAGACATTGATGCCCAAATCACACGCTGAAGGGCACAATCTGGGCTTTGTGTTCGCATGGGCACCAACCAACTGACTCAACACGGATTTGCTACCCTACCCCCTCATTCTTTACAAGTAGTCCATACGCGGGCACTGCTCAAAAGGACATGTTCAACAAGAAGACTCAAGTTCAGGAGGGTTTGGGGGTGACACCGGCCCATGCTGGTGATATAAAATAGTCCATGAGCCAAACAAGTCTGAGATCATGGCAAGCCATTCTTCTTCACGAATCAGCTCCCATTTGGAGGTGTTTCCGGGAAAAACGAGTGTTTTCCAGGATAAACGATTTTTACTGCCAATGCCACTGGAGAAGCGATGTTTCGCTCCAGACATGACAAATAAGTAGTGTTTGGGGTCTATAGGTATACAGTTATATATATATATACATATTGATCATATATTGCAAACATTATAACAGTTAGAATTATACACATATCATTAATATATTTATAGCATACAAATCTTTATTTGTGCAATGTTTGTTTGAACAAAGACATGTTGATTTGGAAGCGCTGTTCTATTCTTTTTGTTTTTTTGTGTTGCTTGAATGTGCTTCTGTATATAGGGAACTGATCGATTGCCCTTCAATGCGCATGTAATTATACCAACCATAAAGTGGCTAGATCGATCTGGACCCGGGACAGAAATCAACGCTTCAGCCTCCAACGGCAGCCCGGCCCAGCTCGGCCCTTCGTTGACATCCATCCGTCCCAAGCGGTCGTTGCTGAGGCCGTGGCCCTCCCTCGTAGCGCCGGCCATCGTCCCATTCCAGTACACCCTGCCTCAGATGAGATGCCCCAAGAACGGTGGAGAAGACCACGTATCGAACCTGCCCCCCCCCAAAACAAATCCACCTCGTCCTCGGACGTCGGCGCGACCGTCGGAACGCGCGTCTGCAAGGCCACGTGGCCCGTGCTTCAGGTCGTTCTGAAACTCCCCCTGACGAGTGGAGCATGGCCGCGAGCCCGCCCGCGGCGACAGGGTGGTGTTTCTTTTTTCAGGTCCGGTCTGCAACAAAAACAAAAACACACCCAAGGAACCCCAGGAGGTTGAGGTCTTTGTTGTCTTCGGAGTGTATGAAGGTATCGTCTCATTGAAGGTGGGTCTGGAAGTACTGAAACCAGAACTCACCGACGATACCAAAAGAACATACACGACCGATGGGACTGTCATATATGCCTACATTGACCCCTCTGGCACCACCCCAATGTAGGTAAACAATGGTAAATATACCATACATGGAGTGTCTGGGAAAACGACAAAGAACTCACAGTGAAACACATGCGACTGGGGCCGTGTGAAGCAAAGAGCACATGCCCACTAGGCCTGGCAAGAAACACTGGTTTTCTGTCCTGCCAAACGCTTGAGGTGCTCGAAATTGCATGTAGAACTCCAATTCGTTGAAATGCCATCCACAAAATGAAGGGCCCCCACAGTTAAGTAAACTGCATATCAATTGACGAAAGGACATGGGAATGGACTGGACATTAGGCCTTTTGAGTGACCAGACTCCGTCCGGACTCGGCGACAAATACATACAATGCCACAATGCACATGGAAACCATCGCACCGTTCTGGGAGGGCTGACAGGCATGACATGTATAATATAGGCGCGGTCATGTTAAACATTCCAAAGCCTGTAAAGTATTGTATATTATATATTGTTAACAATTGCAAACAACGGGTGACATGAGACATGCTTCACCTGTCACATGATGTAAACGAAGAACTCAAGAAGCATCATAAGAGTATCTGGAGTATATAGCGCCCAGTCCTTCTTATTGCACTTTGGTGATAAAAAAATGGAAGTTTCCCACAGTGGCGACACTAGTGCGGACTCATTTCCGTCCAAGAATTCTGTGACCTCGCCCCAAACACCCACCTGTGAAGGCCAGGTCGCCAGGTCTCACTGTCCTCCGAGTCCTTTCACATCGGCTCGCAGCGGCCCGGTCGGCGCACCTCGTAGGTGTAGTTCTGCATGCGCACACGGCCCCGGCCATGCCTCATGCGCCACGAGACCCCGCTTCGCCGTGACCGCAGTGCCCGAGGGGTGGCGGATCTCGGTGGTCTTCTCGGTGGAATTGGTGTGGCACTGGGTGGATGTCAAGAAATGCATGGTTCCATCACACAGTCAGACCCACGTGTTGCATACTTGTAGGCTGGTAGGGATACTTAGGGTCTATCCTATTACCTGTAATTGATGATGGTTAGTAAAGGCCTTGTCTAAAAATCGTGATAATTGTTTACTGACGTGCTTCAGGTAAGAACGGACAGACCCAAGGGACACTTGCATACACCCACAACATGTTTGTCAAACAAACTTCACGTTGTGCCTAAGAAGCAAACACTGGCTTGTCGAGGACATCCTTTGTGTTCAAGTCCTGGGCTGGCCTTTCTGGCCGTAGGGGGTCTCCAAGCATTGTAACGACCACCATGTTGGAAATTGACGATCTTAGCGTTGGATGGTTCTCCAACCACGGAATGTTTGAGTGGCACCCAACATTGTAACTCACATGTGAACATGTGTTTGGCTCAGAAAGAAACCATCTCATCATCTCTCCACCCCCCACCCCCTTCAAATCGGTTCTTTGTATCGGTCCATTGTCACGGCCCAACATCCTATAGGTTTTGTCAACCTGGATCCGTTGTGATCCACCCGCTTCGGCCCACGCTGCTACACCGTTGGTCCCTGCCACGGGCGATACAGTATGGTGCATGCCACGCTGCTTCATGGTGCCCAGGTAGGTGCCCTCATAGCTGATCTCAGGCTCTCGTTCCTGCTGCAGGGTCGGTGTTCAGCTCGACTGCTTACTGATCGGCTGTCCATTTTCATATCAAGTCGAGAAAAACAAAAACACCTCCAAAACGGGAAGTTGTTTCCTGCAAAGCTAAAGAACATCTCCATACAAGCTTGGGATGGCACGTATTCCAGGTGCCTGTACGCCCTGGAGGATTAACATGGAACCTGAAAACTACTAATACTGTAGAGGAAAAGAGTCTTCCAGTCTGGTCCATATTTCAGGCTCCATGATTCCAATCTTCCGGGGTGACCCTACTCCCATGTTCGGCTCGTTGAAACGAACCGATCTGGCCATGATGCAATCCAGCCATTGTGGCAGTTCTTGAGGCCACCTGGAGTGAGTGATGCACCACCTGTTGGGTCTTCGGAACATGGTCAAACCCGAGTCGTCGGTGCCATCCCATCCCATCCACGGCCAGGCCAATGATGATTCCACAGAGTGTACTACGTACTCGTATTTAGTCACCAACTTGCGACAAAGCTACCCCGCACTGGACGACCTCGCTCACGCGCGGCGGCTGCAGCCGCTCCGGTCGCGGTGTCCTCCTCCTCCCGTGGGGATGGTTTCATGTCCGGGCGAGGCGTAGGGCCTGCGGTGGCGGCGCATGAAACGCATGGAAGGATTCATCTTCCTACCCTAAACATCCCCCAATGCTCCATGAGACTCACATAGACTGACAGATCAGTCGGTATTTTTTTCTTGATGTGAGGTCAATGATGGAGTATCTGGGTACAGGAAAAGATACATTCTAGACTCTATCCCAAAGGACATGAGGAGACCTCCTTCAGATTATGTCCGCAAAAACACCACGGCACGAAAACAAACAAAAGTACTAGCCGCTCCCCTTTGTAAGGCATCCACACTGGATGTGTTTCGAAATGTGCACGCCGAATCTTCACAAAAAAGACACCCAATGCCCCAATGTGTTGTACGTGATGGGTGGTGTCCCTCCCACCCATGGAACTTGCATGGAACAGGAGTGAAAAACACCCGTTGGTAGAGGATTTCATGGTCTTCCTTTCGGGGCCACGCCATCCACATACCCATGTTACTTCCAGGAAGTGTACCCCATCCAAACCCAACCACTCCATGAGACCGGATCAAAACCCGTGCCAGACAGGTCATGTCTGAACAAATCCCATCCATGGTGGCAACATGTGGCATTCCAGTCCCGACATGGTCTTATACACCGGAGCTGCGTCATGCACGTGGGCGTGGAAGACGTGGTTGCGTCGTCGCCACGTGAAACGCTGGGTCGTCGTCAGGCCCCAAACGTTACATCGTTACATCGTAGCCGAGGGAGATGGGAATCAACAACTGGTGGAAGGTGACATGCAGTGCACATCCACTTTTCCTGGGTAATTAGTTGGAAATGAAGGGCACTGCCTAGCTAGTTGTGGGTCAAATAGTTGACCACTGGAAAGGGATGTGCTTTGATTCAGTATTACACTCCCTGTGTCGGTACTGGGGCGTTTCTTTGATGCAATGTTTGGACCTTTTCCCAGTGAAAGCGTTGATCTTTTGGGGGGGTTCATGCATGGTCTTACATTGTCTTGTGGTATGCCATACAGTGGCAAATCCAGATCATCATATTCTGAGCATTTCTTATAGTAAATTTCCAGAGAGAAGAATGCACCAAAACAAGTTGTACACTTTTGAACCCCCTGGTCAGTTCATGATTCCATCACTTCTCCGCAAGCCTAATGTCTCGACTCCAACGTTTCTTCGGCACCATCTTCAAAACCCACGACACCACCAATTGATTTTCATATTTGCAACACCATCCCACCCCTCTTTCCCCAAAACCATAGAACCATTGAGCCATCATCCCCACCCTTCCAAAACCAGCCTATAGCCAACCCTACACAATATAGTAAGTATAGCCGCTCCATGCGAAGTCCCTCCGCGCGATGCCACGCCCACGCTCCTTCAACGTGCGAGCCTGGCGTCCGGAACTCGCCGCCCTCGCGGGGCGTCGCCATGGTCGAGACTTCGTCGAAGCGCGGCGATTCCTTCGGCAGGCGCTGCCCCGCTGGCTGCAAGACCTGCACGGTGGGGATATCGGTGGGATGAGAGTGCGGAGGAGGATGGGGAGGATGGGGGATATGGGGGGGATTGAAAAGAAAAACGAAGGCCTGGCGCGTGGCACAAAGTGTTATTGAGTTATTGAGGGTTTATTTCACATGTATGTTTTTTGGTGTGGGGGAGGTTAGGTTGGTTTAGGATGGTTTAGGAGTAGATTCATTATGAACCAAAGGGGCTAAAGGTCCAAGAGGATACCACAGGAAGCTAAGGAAACAAGAAAACACATTACTGTGTGGGCCTAGTGAGGGCTGTCGTGTTTTGATGGTCTTGAAGGCCGTCAGGCCCAGCCATTGAAGAAAACACAAAGGGCCGGAGATGAGAACATCATGGTGGAAGAAGTACAGGATAGTAAAGACTCATGCTCCACACACCTCTGTGAATGGGTTTGGCCAAGTGGTGCCGATTCCCAGTACAAAGCAATGCCACCACACAGACCACAAAACATATATAGTTATTCACAATCAAAAAAATGATCTTTTTAAAACTTGATGTAAGCGAATGTGATATGTGTTTTTGTTTGACTTGTACACACACACACCTTTGTGACTTGCATGTTAAAGATGTGTTAAAGTGAATCTTGAGAAACAACTATTTTCACAGCCTTTCACCACACAAATTACTTGAGATTGTTGGCTTGCTAAGTGGTTGGCGACTGCTAAGCCAAGTGGTTTGGGAAAAAGGTGTCGTTGCTTGTCCATGCGATGTGCAGTTCTGCGCAGTTGTGCTTGTCATTTGCATTGCTGGTTCAGCACTGCAAAATAGACCTGTTCACAGGCCATTGAACATGGAAGTCGAGGAAAGTGACCACCTGCATGGTGACTACAGTGCTTTTTCAGAGGTTCCATGGCACAAGTTACCCAAGTTTGGTGGTTTAGATGGACCCCCATCTGTCTGTACATCTAACGGGTTCCTGTCATCTCTTAAAAAAACAGATAAATTATGGTTCGTGCATGTTCTTCTGGAAACCGGTGGTTCATCACACCCACTTGATGATCTGTCTTCTGCTTTCGCTCCAGGGGAATTGGACGCCCCAAGATGCAGCCAGCGCAGCCCTTTAAAGACCAACCCGAAATCCGGGTCCCGAACCATTTTCCCCGTGGAACATCAAAAGGTGAACCCAGACTTTCCACCTCTTCGATTCTAGATTGGAAAGCCATTAAAAAAGGCAAAATTGGTTGTCCACTGACTGGGTAGGTCTTGGACAAATCTTGCAAGTTGTAACAGCGTTGGCCTATAACCTCCGCCGAAAAGTCGTTGGGATTTGAAACGCAGGGCCGCATCAAACACTAATCCCGAGTACCTATTAGAACACCGACCCCTCTTTAAAAAAATCAAGTCGGATCCCCCTAAATACGGCTTGTATGTGTTTTTAAACTACCGCCCTTCACGCCGCTACTAAACTACCAACATTGCCGATTTTGGATGAGTTTTTCTAATTAGGTTCCAAAAACAACCGCAACTGCCCACCTCTGTCCGCCCTGTCTATCCACCATGACACGCCGCGTTTACACCAGCAGGTTTTCCTTCCCGAAAGCTTTAGTTGTTAGTATATAGTTGTTAGTCTAATATTCTAAAAAAGATTTTTGTAGGGGAAAGGGAGACCCTTCGTTCTGGAGGTTTCTTGAATTTTTGATACGACTTTAGTAAAGTATTTTGCATAACATGTTCCTGGGTGACTTTTTTGTGTTGAAGCTCTTCCTAGGTGACCCTATTTTGGACCCCCCGATTTCAGGGACCCCATATTTTAAAAAATGCGACCGAGGTTTCCTTACTAGGGGGGGGGGGCGTGTTTTTTAATAGGTGGACAGGATTAGCCACGACTCAAACGACTTAATGTTGGATGCTGATTAGTAAATGGGTCCTCAATAATGCTAAAATTTTCCAAAGTTATTCCAGACCCCATGTTTGAAAAATGGGTCCTGAATGATGCTGAATGTTTTGGGGACCCTAAATTCTTTATATATTGGAAACCTAACTAATAAGGGTTTGAATTCCTAAGCATTGCTCCTAAACAAATTTTCAGGGTAGTAGACCAGGAAGGCACCTGATCCTCAATAATAGATTTGTTTTTGGGTTCTCAATTGTGAAAAGTTTTTTCCACTGGAAAAAACTGCTCATGGAATCTTCCTTTACTTAGCTCCTGAGGCCAATGATTATGATTCATCTTGAGCTGAAGATCTGAGGCTGCAAAGCAAAAGGATTGCTGAGAACAGTTACAAAGCACCTGAGAAAGGAAGCTGAATACTACAATCAATTACAAAAGGAATCCTCACAGGAATCCAGATTTGTTTTGGTGGTAATTTATTATAGAGGATCCCCTATTTGTTTGAGGGAGGGGGGGGACCCCCCTTTACTAATTAGGATCCAACATTAAGCGCAAAGCAAAGCAAGCCTGAAAAACACAAGTAAAGTCGCAACGCTTCAAAACACTACTAATTCCCACCACTTGTAGCCCTAATCTATGTATATAGCCTAATTCATCCACTTCGGAAGACCGTTCACCAAGACGAAGCCTGACTTAACACCCCCACCGTTCCTGCTAGCCGTGCGCTCGTGTGGTGGAACCCACACGCGCAAGGCCTGAAACCAGTTTGGCACCACTGGCACGCCTCGCGCATCCTCCTGGCCCCGTCGAGCGACAGTTCAGAAACATCCATCGATGGAACCTGAGTCTAGCTACTAGTAGCAGATTAGCTACTATAGCTAGTAGTAGTGATGGTTACCCAGAGCAAACCCGTAAACCAAGGACGAACAGATCGATCTCGTGCCGATCTTCGTCCGGATCGGGGTGGGCGAACGAACGGATCACCATTTAGTCGGACGAGGCATCCTTCGTGCAGTTCCTGACTGAGCAATAAGGCGATGTTTAGGAAGGCAACAAATAACTTAACTGAAATCATCTGCAATATAATGGTTCATGTTGTTCACAAAAAAAATGGATCATGGATGTCATGTTGGTACGCAGGTTGCTGTCAAAATGTTGGCTCAGGCCCTGCGAAGGTGTCGGGTCAACGGAGTCTTGCACATACAGCAAGTGTGAAAACAAAACGAGGTTTGGATAAGATCCAGAACCCCAACTCAACCAATACCTAAAAATACCAGAATCCTCCAATTGGGGGTGTCCATGGGAAACCCATTGCACCATTTTCTAGCTTGGACTTGCTGATGGAACTTGAACAAAACACAAGATCTTCCCAATGAACTCTCCAAACACTGAATGGGTGGGCAAATCAAATTATCACTGTTGAGACCAGAAACACATCACTTGAAAGTCCAGTCCAACATCGCTTGTTCACTTGTGACTGACATCACTTGAAGAAATGAAACAACAAGTTGGACTGACTTTATGAGTTCGATCCCAAAAACTAACCACAGCAATCTGTGGCACATCCTGCTACATGCTCCAACCTTCGTGTTCCCCCTACACCGCGGTACGCGGCTCGTGTTCCAACCGTTCGCGGCTCGTCCTGCGGCACGTCATCGGCTTGGCCCTTCGCGCCCTTGGAGGAACTGCTGGGGTGCTGCCTCGTCTTCGCCGACGACGCGTCCAGCGGCTTCGAAGCAGGTCTTCTTCAGAGCAAAAGCCGTTGTTTTGGGATGTCTGATGTCTAATCATAGCCCCTTATAGATCGAGGTTAAGGGATGTCCATGAACCACCCCAAAACAGGAGGCCCCCCTCACCGGTCTCCTTCTATCGTCCCCTGAACCCTGATTGAACTCTGAAGAATCAGTGAAGACTGAAGAACGACTTGTTACCAGGTCGGCCGTGTGTGGTGCTTCCCAGTCACTCATGTCATGAGCTTGGCATCTTTACCGATCAATTGGGATAGTTGAAAGGAGCTCACCAATCCAGTCCCATGTCGGCTTCCTGTGGTTTGAGCACCAGGTGACAAAAGACCTACCGAAAAGCACAGCTGTTCATTTCGTCGTGACTTCTGGACCGGTTCGTTTGTGTTCCCCTGCTTTTTCAATTGGAAGGCTGTCGTGGCTTGACTCACTGAGGTTCCAATGGCATCACAGAAGCCACCGTCGGCTGGCGTTGGTTCTCCAAGGTCGCTTCGTGCCACATGTGCCCAGACGCTCCGTGAAAACAGCCCGACTGGTGCCTCAAAACCCTTTTTGGTTCGATCCCTGACCCCTCCGGATTCGGGGCCGAACGGGTCGCGTCCGTCGCGTGGGTCATGTCTCCATGGGCATCCGTGAACCCGTGTGGCCAGGCACTTCACCATGGAGAAACTCCGGATCGCTTGATCACCGGTCGGAACTTGCTCACTTGGAACACTGACTACGTACGGTGGTGTTGAGTATGGATGGGTTTGCCTAACAACTCCCAAAGGTGTGGACATATTTGCATGGCTGGGATTGGGCGAGATCGGGGCAGAGTGCTTTCTAAAGCACTTGACATTTGCGGGATCCTCGTAGATCCTGCGGGGTTCACCGAATGGATCCTATAGAATCAAAGCAACCCAGGGTGGGTCACACAAAGCAACCACCAAATCTGTGCGGCAAAGGCTCTGAAAAAAGATTTGCTGTCCTGCATTGACCTCAGAAGCCAGGTGTCCGTCCCCATGTCGCTGTCGGCATTTGTTGCTTTTCGGTGGTTGCCCTGCCTTGGTGGCTCCAGGTAGTGCAGGATTTGTGAAAACAAAAATCCAACAGCCTTGGTTGTACAGTAGCCTGTGTACAAAGACCCTTGCTGTGCTAGAGACTTCAGCCGAAGATCCGCTACTCTATCAATGATCATCAATGATATCTTTCTCTGGCTTGGACAACTTCTTCTTCCAACCAGGCACCCCACACATATGAGCCACAAGCCGCTTGTGTGAGGGCAAGCGACCATCCATGGGGCTGGAATAGATGCCGCACACATGGACCCCTTTTCAATCACCCTTAAAAGGGTGATTGAAAAGGGGTCCATGTGTTATTAACCTCATTGCTAAACTGAGTTTGAATTTAAATAGGGTGACCTCCCAACCGATGGATTTTGTTTGTTTGTGATGTTCCCAGAGGTCTTTGGGGGGTCTCCCTATTCTAATAGGACCCAAATAGGCCAACCCCATGGATGGTCTGGTACGGTGGACGCGGAAAGTCAGGAGCTCAAAACCTTCCAAAGCAACTCAATACCAGGGCTCCCTAAGGGGTGTCTATTTGTAGCCCCTTAGAGGTTAAGGGGTGTCCATTAACCACCCCTTATGGGTCCTGGTACAGTTTTCTTACACTGAACCTCAGAAGCTACTCCTACTCCTGCTATTCGCACCACATGGAAGGCCAAGTCCTCACGTCCTGAGCCCAATGGTTCGGAACATGGTCTTCCATGCCACGGGTCTATTCTCAGGGTCCATGTGGTCCATCTGCAGGGGTATGTCGATGGATCTTGGGCCGAGTCCAGCCTAGTTGGAAGTCAAAGCACCAGGGTCCTTAGTCCTTATGGTCCCTTCCAGCAAAGCACGGAAGCAAACACCAGAGCGACAACGGCGACGAGCGCTGCAAGGTCCGACGGGCCGCGATGGACCGTCCGAGTCCCGACAGCGATGTGGTGTTTTGGCTGGCGTTTCATGTAGGCCTTTGGCATGGAGAGGTGCTTTCAGGTCTTTTTCCCGACGGGTGAATCCTCTTGGCGGGAAGATGTTAAACCTTCATTCATCTTCATTCTGGTTCCTGGACAGCAAATTCAAGTACCGATGGGCTGAGAACCATCCCAAGATCACATGGTGGAGGATCACGTTGTGGCGATGGACTTCATGTGGAGTGACAACAACTTCGCACGTGCGAATAATATTGTTGTTTTTCGCGTGCCTCTTCGCACATGCTACAGAAACTGATGATTGGAGGGATGAAGGCATCAATCCAGTTTGCCCAATCTGCCCTGAGACTTTTGCAATACCGCCTCTTGATGAAGCTGTAGATGGATGGCAAATCTGTCCGATCCGTGCTTCATGCTTCCTTCATGAGAACATGGAAGTGAGAGAGTTCTTTTTGTGTTGCTTCACTCCCCAGCTCTCCAAACTTTCCAAACAAAAAAGAAACTTCCCAAATCTCTCGTGTCACGTCCCAAACCTTCGCTCTCTGAGCCATCCCGGCCGGCAGCTCAGTGTGGGAATCTGCTTGTTCTTCGGACCCCTCCTGCGGCCCGGCTTTCCCGCGGCCCCGTCCGCGGCGACGCTCAAATCCGGTTGAAGAAGCGATCACGAAAGAGGCTGAGTAACAAAAAACAAGTTCATGACTTGTGTATATATCCCATTACTGTTACCCACAACAGTGGATGATGATGATGATGATGATGATGATGATGGTGATGATGATGATGATCGTTCACCGATCGTTACTAGTAATGGGACACGCCCACTTCATGACCAACTCCACAAGCCTGCAATGGGAAACTGATGGAACAGTGACCCTTCTGAAATCCTCCGAAGATCTATTGGATCCGGAGTTGTCTAAAAATGTTTCAGCTCTGTCTCTATACTTCAACATGCTAACATGCTTGAACATGGTGTCGAAGGCCTCAACAAAGACCCACGACACCCATAAGCCATAGCCGTGCGGTCTCGTGTTATTCCCATAAGCCATAGCCCTCTCTTGAGCAATGTGGTGCAAATGGGTAAGGAAAAAAGAGCACGCCAAGAACCCTCGGAGTCCCCAAGTTTCGCGCTGCCCCAAAACCACAACAAGTGACCTATGAAGCCCAGCAACCACCTAAACCACAGGACCACCCGCCCTACCAGAGGAAACCAAAAAAACACATACAGCCTACAGCAGTGGTTTCAGATGGTTTCAGAGTACTAGATGATGGCACTGGCACCCAAAGGATGTCCTTTAGATGGTGATACGCCCATGGAAGGAAAAATGGTCTTCCAGTCTGGTCCAATATTCTTCCCAGGTGTACCATCTATACACTCTGATCACCGCGTTTCACTCTGATCACACGTCCTGCGCGGAGCTCACCCGCTCAATGGGCATCTGAGTGCCGAGACGTTGGATTGACGTCACGACGTCGGTGCCGAGGCGTTCGATCGGTGGTGATGCTGGACATGTCGTGATCGCGGTGACAAGGGATCGATCGATGGTGTTCCAGGTTCGTGATAAGTAGGTTGTTAACCAGGTTCTTGTTAAGTGGGGTGACCCCTAATTCTCCAGAATCTGCTGGTGTTTCAGGGTGTTTCCCCGCACTTCCAATTGATCGGTCTGGGATGTTGGTGGATCCACCTGATTGCTGGATCGCACTTCTTAGAAATGAAGGGTAGGGCTTGTTGGAGTAGATGGTGTCTTTCTCTCCGTCGTTCGCCATAGTTGTTCGAAGGCATAATCTGGATGTGGTGGGTTGGAGGGGTCACACGCGTGACCGCGCAGATGGTCTTCTGGCAGATCCAATGTCAAATCTATCTCATTATCTTGAGAATCATGGAGCCTCAAAAGTGAAGCCTTTGAGGGTTTTGAGGGGGGGGCAGGGAAGTGTGACGTACAACGTACGCAGCAAAGGGTGGACAAGAGAGCACATGCGCCAACAAACTGGAGAAGAGCTGCTCACAAAAAATGCGCCCAGTCATGCAGCACTGGGCTTTTGCTTTGGATTCCCGGCCATCCAATCTTTCTATGACCGCTGAATAAGACTTCTGCGGTTGTCGCGCCGTCCACGTCGGGTCACCGCCCTCTGCGACCGACCCGTGGGGTCCACGCAGTACTAGCCGGTCACTGGGCGTCACAACGGAGGTCCGCATGGTGGACTGCTCCGGCTGCATGGTGGACTGACACCATTCCCATCGATCCCCAGATATTGTTTATACTTACAAAGTCCTGGTGATTGAAGTTTGAAAAGCAGCCAATCCAAAGTTCCCTCATGTGTCAGGAACTTGAGCTGGACATTCACACTGAAGGTCCTAGCGCATGAAGAGACAATTTGTGATATGTGTTTGTCTTTTGCTGTCTGGGTGTGTTTACTTTCAATGCTTGTGACACCTTCCTCCTTTCACTTGGCTGGTCCTCGCCGGTGTTGATTCTCTTTAACCATGTTCTTTGTTTAAGTGGAACATGTCCATGCACCAAATCGCATTATTGATCTGTGCTTCCTTGTCTCAGTGTGTGCGCGCACATGGATGGGTCAGTAGTTAGGCGCATGCGTGGGTAAATGAAATGGCTCTCCACAAGAACTCGTGTTCTGGGCCAAGGCACTTGCTACACTCGTTTCACATGGTAGACACCCCAGCACTGCAGAGAAGAGAAGGCCCAGCACTTGCGACACTCTTCTGGGATTCTCTCCCGGGTTGCATCCGACGGGTCTGGGAAAGACAAGCGACGCAAGCGCCAAGCGCCAAAGGAGCCCTCGGAGCCCAACAGCACGAAGAGTGTAACATTGCAATTGTAACAATGTACATGTAATGTAGACTCTTGATTAATGATGCCCCCACATGAAGAGGACTTTTAATCCAAATCGGATGGTTTATTAATCAAGAGTCTACATGTATACAGTATACATGTAAGTGTGAGATCTGCACGAAGAGTGTAACATCTGCAGAACTGCGTGCAGATTCAACAGTTGATATCAAGCGATGCCCGTGGTGCCCCTCGTACTCGTGGCCGTCGCCGCGGTGTTTGTTTTGCATCAAGTTAGACTCGGAGTTGGTGAATGGCGAATGCCCCACCTCTCTTCGCAGCTCCGCAACGGGCGTCACTTCGAACGACCTGCCCTTCGCTGATCACCGGTCTGGTGCTTCTGAGTCCGGGAGTAGTGGCAACTGGAGCGTTTTGAAGAAGAAAAGACGGATCCTGGTTGAGCCCGGAAAAAGGTCTTTTCTTCCAATAATTTTCTGCTGTATCTTCGTCCGAAAGATCTCTCTGCCAGATCTGGATCTGCTGATCGAATTTTGCTGCGTCAACTCTGCTGTGGACTCTGTGTGGACATGATAAGCAAATGGGTTGTAAAGATCTATGCTCTGAGCTGCTTTGAACACTGGCATACTGTTCAATCTGATCACCTCTCTCTTCAGGTGATTCCAGCCGAATCAATCAGGCCCTGATTCAGAGTCTCTGCGCGTCCTATCGTGGGTTGGTCAGAAGCTTCCACATCCAAGTTTACTCAACTCAATTTGCTCAGTACCCTCAGTTTCGTTGGAAAATCACGGTGAACCTAACTTTCCACCTGTGTTGGATTCTAGTGATTTCGAGCGGGGAAACCAAGGTTTGTCCTCTTATCCCCGATAGTTTGAGCTTCGGGTGGCCAAGAACTGCTGTCTCCTTCCAGACCTTGGAAGTGGATCATTCAAAATGCCCAAGCAAACAAACGTGCTCGCGAGAGAACCCCGATTTGCCAAACATGTCAAAAGGTACTCCCCAGAGGTACACAGCATCGGTCATAGACACAAACGCATGATGACACATGGGTTTCTTGCTGAAGATGCCTCTCATGGGACAGGGAAAACATCCTTGCTCCGTTTCTCAAACAAAACACATCCACAAAACATGTGAACTACATGTGAACTTGAACTACGTAATTAGGAATTAAATCATGTAGCAAACAAACAGGCCCCTACAGCGTAACACTTCCAGCCATGAGTGTTAAATCCTCTTTGAATACTACTGCTGCTGCTGCTGCTACTGCTCCTACTACAATTATACTCCCACTACTACTAATAATATAATAACAATAATTATACTCCTACTGCTACTGCCACTGCTACCACTAATGCTCCTGACTACCAACTACTACTGACCATCTTCTCTGCTTCGTGCCAAACATCCTGCCCTATCCCGCCCAAAACGCCCGCCTTGGTTGCAGAGGTGCTCGGACACAGAAGCGGGATGAGCTTCACCTCGGCGAGACTTGAAGCCCCCAGCGATGTCCGGGACTGGAAGGGTGGTCCTTAGAGATGGGCCCAAGGTTGCCTGGTGTTATTGGATTAGAGTTGGTTCAAGTATCTAGAGTAGTAGGTTCAATTACCTTGTAATTGCCTTTATTCTAGAGTATATAGTCTATGTAGTTGGTGTTCAATTACCCAAGAATCCAAGATGTAGAACTTTGTAATTGCCTTTATTCTAGAGTAGTTGGTGTTCAATTACCCGAGAATCCAAGATGTCTTAGACGGAGGCTCCAAACCACACACCTTGGGGCAACTGGTGCCATGGAGTCTCTCTTGGATGGAGTAAGATAATGACGTTTTTCCCCGAGTCTTCCACTCTTCCACCTTTGAAAGGAGTGTAAAATCCTACTTTGAGAACACAATGGTTATCCGGCAAACAACATACATCAATGGTGGTTGGAATCCTGGCATTTATGCAACTACTCCAGTCCCATCGAGTGTCTGGGGATATACTAAACGTATTACGAATGCATCACTGGTCTAGTCTGAGGTCTTAAGTGGTGAACGGGAAGTCCTGGTCTCATGCACGGCATGTTCATCTCATGTTGCATCACATGTTCATCTCTTCACAACCACTGGCAACTGATGCGAAATACAACGAACTGCTCGGCCATCTGAAAACTCCGACCTTGAAAAAAACATTCCATGGAAACAGTCCATATTATATGCAGTCTTTATACTCCAGTCTTGTGCCCCTCCACTATAAAAGCTATCCATTGTTCCTGGGTAGGAAGAGTGCTCTGGGCACCCGAGCCAAGGGTTGATCCACTTCATCCCCGCGAGAGCAGTCACGCATGCAGGAACTCCCTCGGGACGCGGAAGGCGGTGGGTGGCTGGGCCAGTGCAAAATGCAGCGAGGTGTGGCTGTTCTTCAAACAATTATTTTGGTGCCCTACACATCATTGGACCCTCGTACTTGGAGGGTTTGGACCTTGCAACATCTGCAGGGGTTTGGACCCGGAGCAAACTTTAACCTTTTTAGGTCGATGATTCTTGGGGTGGGAATGAGATGGGACCAGGGAGGGTAGCTTTTGAGCACAGGTTGGCCTTGTGACGCCTGATGGAAGTCACACATGTGTCTGGCACGTAGTTCAATCATTTTCCATGCCACATGGCTGTGGATCAACACCCGGAGCCCCTTTCACCAGGGTAGCTTGACCGGTAATTGACCTTCTGTTCATTCGCCTGGGAAAAACCGTGTCCTGATGCCACGACCCAGCCCGCCACGTCGTCCAGCCACATCGTGTTCTCGTTTGCTCCTGTTGACCAAGTCCGATCCACATCAATCCCATGGTTTCCCGGGAGACGAAGTCTGGCTTCTTGAGTCTTGAGCTGCTTGGCATGCTCCGTGAACACCCCCACCAAGCAATCAGCCTAGAAGAGAAACCACAAAAATCACCCAAGCGAGTGGGAGACACACAAATACATAATGATTCAACATGATCTCACTCAAACCAACTTCTACTTGGAGATTTAGTCTCACAGTACTCCAGTGTCCTCTCACTGAACCATCTTGCCGTGCAACTTCCCAAAACATCATTACACCCTGGAAGACTAACATGGAAGAATGGCCCCTTGGAAGACGATTTTCCACTACAAACAGGTGGTGAACTCCACTTCCATGTTAGTTTTCGGGAGTGTGTGCGCCAATCCCCACGCCAAGGAGCCGATGTTCCCCATGTTTTTGGGGCCAGGTTTGTCGCTCGCGTCAGGAGCGTCAGGAAGAAGAGTCTTTAGTTGATGGAACAGGCTTGGCATTTCTGCTGTGGGTGGTACGCGCGATCTTCATGTTTTTTGTCTTATTATATATTACATTTGTTTTCGATCCTTTCACTAGCAGTCGAGACATGAGCTTTTGCTTGCGGGTACACATTTCCCAGTCAGTGGTGCATCTGCTTCATGATCAAATTGAACCACCAAGACAACACCACTTGATGTTTATAGTGTTGATTGTGGCACATGTCCGAAACCAAAGCTCCAAAGCCACATCTTCTTTGGCTGCAAAGTGACCCTTCAAATGGTTATTTCCTCGCATGGTGGGCTGAGAGCAGCTGACGATGCGCTGGAGACATGGTCTGCAATGATGTTGCTGGAGCCAGGTGTGGTGCGAGAATTGTTGATCCAAAGAACAATTCAGTACGATGGCCATGCATTTCGGAATGACAAACAAAGGCCTGGAGTCTCACTGCAGCTAGAGTAGAGAAAGAAATCCGGGAACCATTACTGACAACACAATGACACCATTGTTTTCACAACGACCACAAGTCAGACAAGTGTATCCAATCCAGTTGCGGTTAAAGGTTAAACAATAACAGGTTCACCAGTTAATGGAAGTGAACAACGGTCCCTGGATGGCCCTGGAAAAATAGAACAACATCCTCTACAAACAGAACTTTGTCCGCTTCCATGATGAACACATGAGTGTGTATTAAAATAAGGAGACCTTCCAAAGACCCCTTGGAAGAAGGAACACAGACCAAAAACACATAAGTTGGATTATCCCTACTTTAATACGCATCCATTATATAGAAAGGTAATGGTGATTGAACTTCATTTATTGAAACACAAATTAAAGAAACGAACACGCTCACACCTTTTTTGAAACTGTTTAATCAGTTCGACATCGAAACTGATGACCAATTTGGACATCGTAGTTGTTTGAATCGTCGTGTTGTTCAAAGGGCTTACCGTACATAAGAGTGGGATGGCAAGAGGTGAACCGTAGTTGCAGAGGCTGAGCAGCCAGGATAGTTTGTTGAACAAGTGTCTTCAGATATTCTCAAATGTTGGCGAAGGCAACGACTTCGGTTCAAGGATTGGTTTCTACTCCACAAGTTCGTTGAAATAAAAGGAGACACCTGTGCAATCTTGAGGTTTCTTTGTTGGCAATGGCCACTTGAGCCGCTTGAGCCGGTGTGTTTCAGTAGTTCCACCATCTTCCACCCATCCCTTTCTTTCCGGTCCGATCTTCAACCACACCTGACCCCCTCAGTTTCCCTGGAAAATCAGCGGTGCACCGAACTTTCCACCAGTTGGATTTGAACTGGGGCGCCCAGTCACATAAGTTTGGGCTTCTCCTCCGACTGGATACTAGTAGGACACTGAACCCCAAAAACTCCGCCGCCTCGCCACCGCGACCCGAAAAACCCACCGCGACCGTATATATACGCTGATGTCTTCCTCTATTCTTTTCTCCCGCACGTCAGCTGGTGGAGTCGAGTGCCGCAGCGGCAGTTTTGGGGTCGCTGGTGCGACCTGCGCTGCAGTTGGAGGTGACGGCGACGAAATGGGCACGGATGCTCTTGGTGGAAAATCGTGGAGACTGATGCGACCTGGGGAGGCGAAGGCTTGCTTCTAGGGATTCTAAATTCTAACAGGAAGAAACCCAATGTAATCTTTCAGGAAAGTCGCATTCTGGTGTGCCAGTGTTCTTACAATACTGTATAGTGCAATGTCCGTTTTTGTTGCAGAGAATTCCAGTCGTAGATGCTGAAGGTTCTGGGCAAAGAGCCCTTCTTCAGTTGAGCGACACGACGAGGTCTGTGTAAGCACCCCCGCATCACTGCACAAAGCAACCCGGCAACCCAGCGCGGCCATTGCTACAGATTGAGTTGCAGCCCTGAAAAGCACTCCCCACTGGATCTGCGAGCCCAAAGCAACCCCAAGCCAAAGCACAGGTCACACAGCCATTGCGCTGCGATTTTGCAGCCCTTAGTGTGCTGCCTAATGTACGTAACTACGTGTCCATCAACCTTCCTAACAAATGCAATCAGGCCAGCACCAGGCAACAACTGCCAAATCGATACATTCAAGATCTCCAGTTCAAACACCAAGCACCATGGGCACACAGTGGCAAACAGCTTGCGAACACATCCATGAAGCAACTCGACCTCCAACATGCAAAACCGCAAGGGCACTCGCTGCAAAGCCAGACACGACGTTTTACAAAATGATACGACTGAACCCGGCCACCCAACACAGCCAAGCCAACAATTTTGGAGAGCCTGACTATTGCACTGTCATCGGCACTTGCAACATCATTGCTATGGTGTAACAGAATTGAGCAAAAAAGAAACTGAATACGTTGTAGTCAGATCGCCGACCCCAAAGTAGCAGTGGGAGAGATCAGTGCCACACATGCATGTCGCATGAGATGAATGCCTCATCCAACGCTGACTTTGCATCGACTCATGTCATGTGCTTGTCCAGCCACACCAACAGCTTGTCAAAGATTTTCGACCACTACAAAATACCATATTGGCATATTGTTCTCAACGAAAAACAGAATCCAAACACACCCTCAATCGTCTCGTCTCCAGCGTCTGCTGAGTAAACGTGCGAGTCTGTCTTTCTATGGTGTCCTCGATCGCATCGAGACGTCCGCTGGACACGAAGCGAGAAGTCTCGCAACACCCCCTCTGCACCGGTGCAAGCTTGTTGCCCGGAAAGCACCGGGGAGGTCAAGTGCAAGTGCTTGAGCAGCACCAAATGACCTTTTAGATGATGCTGGTTCCAGCGACAACCTTAAGAACATTGCTGCACGCCAGCGACCACGTTGTCCTTTGCAATCTTGTGATTACCGAGCCAGCGAAACCTCAGTTCCACGCTGGCTTCCGCTTCCATCTCCACGCTTGTGCGAGGCGAAAAAAAATGCTGGAAGTTCAGAAACCTTCAATCGTCTATTCCTTCTCAACAAATTGAGTCCTTTTTGTAGGCCGGTGAGAACTCCCTGCCACATACCTCTATACGTTTAAACATGTCGGTCGCCCTCGTTTCTTTGCACCCAATCGGTGGCCAAGTCAGCTGGGCTCGGGTTTTGTCGATCTGTCATGTTCGCCTGAGATTTCTTGCGTTTGATGGGAGTAATAAAATGTACCAGGACCCTCCAAGGGGTGTCTATTTATAGCCCCTCAGCCGTTAAGGGGTGTCCATTAACCACCCCTTGAAGGCTCTGGTATATTTTATTTGACCAATTCTCGCATTGGGTGGTCATGGATTTGGCAGGATTTGGTTACCCTTTGCTCATGCGCCGTTTCCGAAGGCAGGCCTCAATTGATGATTGTCAATGATTGTTAATGCCCTTAGGCTGAGCCGTTGAACAACACGCACAAACACGCTCTCGCGCGGACCTGCCGTCGGTCTCGACATGTTGCGACCGACCAGTTCGATGCAGTTTTTGGAGTTCGGAGCCCACAAATAGATACGGACACTCCATGAAACCGGCATAGACCGAAGAACCTGAAACCAGAGTTCCTGGAGTCCAGCGCCTGAGACAGGTTTCATACAGATTTCATATTTACGTGGGGTTGACAGTTCGGTCTGGTTTCCGAAGACCAAATCCTCAGGTGCTGGGGCGTCTGATTCCTCTTTCACCATCCCAAACAGCAGTCCCACAAGGGACTGAGACTGTCGCAGTCGGTGGAGTTTGGGTGAAGCTCGTCACGTCACAAGCGAACCGGTGAAGCTCCCAGGAGAAACGTGTCACATCTGGTCCCCATGTTCTGCGCCAAAAAGACATGCACCATCATGCACCTGCAAAAGAACACACCTCCAGCTGGCCCGGCCCAAAGCCAGCCAAGTACTTCCTCCAGATTTGATAGAAACTCCTACACTGAAACTGCAGTTTCACATTCTAAAACGCATCCCGGTCTGCCCCCTTCTTCTCCCAGCCTGGCGTCCCACCGGGCGGCGTCGCCGTGGGCTTCCGTTCGGCCATCTGCTGCGTCATCGCCGCCACCTTCGCCGCCCTCCGGAGCCTCAAGCAAGAGGCGAAGGACGTGGGGTGGGGTGGGGCGTGGACACACCCGTAGAGTTTATAGGGTTTTAGGGTTTTAGGGTGCGTGTGTGTTTTTGAAGAAGTGGGACTTCTGCAAGGCCGACGTAAGGCTTGCTGCAAGGCACTGAAGGGACGAATAGAGCCGCCTCCTACCTCCAGTTCCAACCGAGCGGATCACATCTCATCTGTTCCCAATTCCCATTGCATCATATTGCATCAAGGTCAAGTCACCTCTAACGGTTCCAACGATTGGATTCCCACAACAAATTGAGCTAGAATCTCCGACTAGAAGGTCCCAACTTCTTGCAAGTGCTTCGCCCTACTAGCAAGAATCCACAAACATGGTGGCGTATCCAGTGGCAAGGCCGGCATGCGACATTGGGCATCGAAAGAACAAATCACCTTACGATGCCTATAACTCGTTTCATGACAGACCCTCTTTCTGTGCCTTCTTCTGTCTTCTTTCGTTACATGAGCTTGTATTAGAATAGGGAGACCGGCACAATCCCGAGGATGTTCTTCAGCCCGAAAGACCCTTCTCAAGAAGTACTTTGATCCGGGATCCAAAAAAGAGGTACCTGGCAGGACTCTGTGGTCGTCTTTGGTGGGAAGTCTTGAAGCTCCTGCGAGCTCCTGTTGTTCTGTTGCCAAGCTGCGCTTCCTGCTTGTTGCTCATCCCTCTTGGAGCTCTCCTCCAGGATTCTCACGTGGGGACGATAGAGCTGTAACACTGAGTGCACAACTTACCACGTCTGCCAATTCACTCATCTGACTCATCCGAGAAAAATGAGTATATAATGGGAAAATGATGGGATATGATATGTTCGGAATACTTTGCCAGAAGTTCCCATTCCGTTCAGTCTTGAACTTGAGCTAAGTTTGAGATTAAACTCGCGCTGCGAACTCACTCCCGAGTGTTGGAGGGTTCGATTTTTGAAACGTGAGCAACCCAGCCAACAGAATGGTTTGGAATTCAAGAAATCACCTTGGACAAGGACTCTAGGTGTCTACGTCGAGGAACTGTTCTATGCAAGAATAGCATTGCCCTAAACCCAATCACTAGTCACAAGTCCTCTCAGCAAGCCAGGCAGATTTGAATGTATTAACAACCTGCCTACCTGCTGCTGATGGCCTGGCCAAACAGTGGGAGCTGCAATTCACTTGCGCAACCAGAACCAACTTCATGGGCTCCATAGCAGTATCCATACTTTGCCAAGTTCCAATTTCCCAACCCGCTCTCCAGCTTTGGAAAGGCCGAAGCTTGTGAAAGGAGGCAAGTGAAGGAATGCAAATTAGGTTGCTTGGAGGCAGCCAGCTCCTCTGGCAAAGGCAGTGCCCCAAAAAGGAAGGGTGACAAAGTCCAGTGACAGCAAGGGTGACAAAGCTTCGGTGCCACATCTGCGCCCAGAAGCTGTCCAAATACCTCTTTGTACTACATCTCATTCACAATCAGCTGCGCCATCTTGTGGTCGATACAAGGTCAAGTGATGTCGTCCGGAGGCGGGAAAGGCCCCGGAAGGAGCAGGTTCATGCGGCCGCTGCAGGATACTCCCGCACCCTGCCGATCCCATGGAGCCTTTTCGAACGAAGGAAACCCCGTGGGTTCGACCGTTGTCCTAAGACCAACACCATGTGGTAAACTGGGGTTCCGTGGTTTCTTCCTCTGCAGGGGAGTATCACCGGCTGTTAGGCACATAACATGATCACTTAGTAGGGTTTAGTAAGTAGGATTCTTACATTCTGCCTGCTGGTGACAAAGCGCCTCTGATGATAAATCTCACCTTTCTGAAAGCCCTGGAGGATCTTGATGGGACAACAGGCTTCCAACGGCTTCTCAAGGGCTTGTGATAGGCCAAGCCCTTCTAATCAAAGCCAAGCCCTTCTCAGAAGGGTTCATACTCTTCTTCTTGGCAGGGGCCGGGTCTGCAAAACCAACCCTCCAAATGCAAGCGCCATGCACACACACAACCCATGTTATTCAGTAGCCGGAGTCAAACTGAACGAATAAGAATCAATCAGCGCCTGAATAGGCAAATTGGCAAAAATAACATAAGATTACCACACTACGTGAAGATCTGTGAAGGGATTCTCCCAGCTGCTGAGAGCAGTTGTTCGAACTCATTTCACCATGACCGACCGGTCCACTACTATGCCGACCGCACGGGGTGGATCGGTTCCGCGATCAATGGCGCTTCTTGATGCTTCTTGCACGTCCCGGAGATGAATTCGCTCCTCATTGCCACAAAAAACATTATTAAAACATTGAAACACCAAGATGGAACATGACAGTTGGAAGTTCGTTCTGGTGGGCTTCAGTAGATCCCCTATCTAGGGGGACTTCAGCAACTGGATGTTTGCCAAAGATCCAATCCCGAAGAACTCTCTTGTTGCAGTCTCCTCGTCTCTTCGTTCTTTCCAGCCTGGCCATGGTTTTCGCAGCCAGTCTCTTGCTCAACAAAACAGAATTAGTTCCTTCAGCCGGAAAAGGCGATGTATGCTGTGAACCATATTATATCTAGACCCCCAAATAGGTAGAAAAGTAAAATCCTTTTCAACAAATATTGGAAACGGTTTCTATCTATTTGGTGACCATTATATGTATATTTAAATTTAGATTATATATACAGTACATGTTTTTGTCATGTGCTTACTATATTACAGTATATATTTCAGTACTGTAGATGCTCTGAAGGTAGACATTCATAAGGCCTGCAAAACCACCTGCTCTGCATGTTTATACTTCTCCTTTTTCGTGCGCTGAAGTCGGAAGTGGTGTTCCCACCACTCCAGACTCCGACATCGCTGAGTCGACCACGTCTTCCAAATGTGGGGGTCTTTGGCTTGGATTTGCGGCTCCCAGGCTGTCTGAGAAAAGAACCTACACCACCACCACCACGTGCATCCGTGGCCCCCGAACACGGCCGAAAAGGCTGCCGCCTTGGGATCGTCCTGGGCGATCTGCGCCAAGTCTTGGAAGCTGGTATTCCTCACAAACCAGCTTGGCTCAGATGAGGCTCATGTCCCCCCAAAAAAAGTCCTCGACCCACCATGGTCCTTCCGGGTCCCTAGTGTCTTCATGGTCCCGTCAGCGTCTTCGGCCAACAAAAGGTCTTCACCCCGCTGACGAGGTGCTTCGCTCCGTTCAAAGTCGCGTCACCGTCGCGATTGATGTAACGCGCGTATTCCATCGAAGCTCGTGGGATGATTTGGTCCAGTTGGTGACCTCGCACCAAGGCCCGCGCCGTGGCAGGAAGCCCTGGGTCCGTCCCTCAAGTGTGTGAAAAACCAACTCCTGAATGACTCAATGCCCCACCTGGTGGAGGATGGTCAGGGGAGGGAGATGGAGGGAGGGAGTTGGCCCCCTGGAACCTTGTTTTCCATTCTGAGCCAACCAGCGGGGCCGACCCAGACCATGTCTGCTTCATGAGAAGCTGCTGACTTTCAGGTGTCGGCCGAAATCCAACTCTTCGGCATCCAAAAGGTCTGCCAAAAAAAAGGTTACTGTGTTAAAATCAAGACCCATCAATGGTACCGGGAATGGTCCGGGCATCGTCTGTCAAACTCTGATTGAGCTCGGCGAAGTCCCACTTTGTTACCCTCCTTGGCAAACCCACGCGCCCTGTGATCAACAAAGAGGGTACAGTACATTCCGTGAAATAAACATGGCAGTGGAAAACCACCTGATACCACCTGATTGATCCTGATGGGTATTCGGATTTCATGGCCATCCGAGTCTTCGTGGCTATGCCCCCTCCACTTGAACCAAGATGAATTCAGGGGATGTACCTTCTTTGTTGATCGCTCGGAGCTGCGTGAACCTTGGCCCTGCCCAAAGAAACGATCATTGCCTATGGTGGGTCCTATTACCTGTAACAGTCTATTAAGAATTTAACACATTATCAGGGGATGGGATACTGTACCCTTAACCATTGTCCATCTTGACTCAGGCCAGTGACTCCATCATTGCCACCGTGATGGATTGCTGCACTCCCTGACGGCGCAGTGTGCTGAGCAGTGTGCGTGTGCGCATAATACACTGCACCAAAAAAGATCGCAATGCGCTACGCAACGATGAAAGAACATCAAAGAAATTCCAGCCCATGAATCCAGGTCCTGAAAAATTGCCAGCTTTCACAAAGGAGTGCTTAATGGAGGTTTGAGGTGTCCATTATCCACTCACTTAGGAACTAAAAACCACCCCTTTGTGACTCCTGGGGGAAGGATACTGAGGTATATTGAGGATCTGGGACCATTATGGACTCTTACGGTTGGAGAAGAACACTCTCCCTTAGTTCGGCACCCCTCGATCACTCCCTTAGTTCGGTGCATAATCAGATACCTCCAGTTGCTTTTTCCTCTGCCTTATCCTAGAAGTGGAAAATGGCCCCTTGAACCATTTTCCACCATCAACCATGATACAGGGAGTACAGCAGGAATTCGATCTTGGCGTGGCGGTGGGGAACACGCGGAACACGTCCCTCCTCCGAGGTATGAATCAGTTTCATACCCGTCATCCAAGGCATCCACCAAAGCATATGTCATACCAAAAAGATCCGATTTAATATTCGATCAAATTTAATCTACCAGGAGTCACATGTTGGGGTGGTGGTGTTTTGTCCCTAAGTGAGTGGATAGTGGGCACCCCTATCCTCCAAACTCGGCACCCCGACACGTGACTCCTGGTATTACATGACGCTCTCATCACACACACTCAAACACACTCACTTAGGTCTAATATGGTCCAACACTTTCCGCATCAACACCTTTCCCAGGGTGTACAGTGTACTTCTGCACCTTTTATGGTGGGTTCCCTGAGTTCTAAATGTACCTCCAAGGAAGTCTAGCTGACATTCTCAAGCTGGCACAACAAAAGCAAAGAATGATTCCCTCGGATCCAACTACCCTCAGTCCATGCTTCCTGCTGCTCAGGCAGCGAGTTCCGGTACCGTACCCTCCGGGGCTACCGCCGCATGTGTCGTGTGTCGCGTGTCGCGCCTCCATCAGGATGCCAGTCGCAATTCCCTGAGCAGCGATCCGGGCAGATTCATCTGGACCGGTTCGAGGTGGAACCCACTTACAGTTGATCCAAATCGCGTCGTTGCGTAGCGGCGTTGCTTAGGTTTTATCTGCGACGTTTCGAGCACGATGCTCGCTATCGGCCCAGACCGGCAGGATCTGCGACACTCTGAACGAGGACAATAGCAAACGATTCGCCTAAAGAACCATGAGTTCTTTCAATTTGCAGCAAAGCAACTGGGAGTCTATGGGTGATTCCCCCATGCCGGGAAATATTCAGTCAGGGACTAACACCTGGCACATCCAGATTTGTGACTGGACCCTTTTGGCTCTTGCACAAAAGGTGCACGACGTGGTTGTTGAGAAGACGATGAAGAAGCGCCCAGTCAGTCCATGGCGGCCGAAACTCTGCCAGTCGAACTCGCATGCGTTCGGCATCTGTCGGTCTCGCAAACGTCCTGGACTTCGTTACAATCTCCTCAAACCGACGTCTCGAAGGAGTAGGGTGAATGACACAGAAAGCAGGGCAAAGAAGATGACCCTCCAGGCAAATCCAGGCAAGCACAAACCCTGGAATGCCAAAAGCTTCCTCACTGCCAAATGGTATACTTTTCAAAAAAGTCAGGAGGATAACACATGCGCATGCCAACCTCCACAGTAACTCTCGCAGTGCAAAGAGACTTGGCACCAGGCTGACAACACGTTGGAACACTTCAGCTACAAGAATTTGAATATAGCCCATATCAAAAAACTGTATTGATCTGTATTGTAGTCCAACCCCCCGTGCTCCACCCAGGAAAACCTCAGAACGATCCACTCCATAGTTTCGAAGGCATCGCGCCAGTGGCCGAACCATTGATCCCAATGATTCAATAAGATTCAGGGGCGAAGAGAAACCAAGCACCTCTGAAATGAAAAGGTCCTGAACCACATCTTCAGGCACTAAAATACGACAAGCCGCACCAGAATCATCAAACCAACTGACTAACTAACTAATTAACCAAACAACCAACCAATTTGAACGCTGTAGCCTCCATGTTTGTACTGCAAATCCGATCTGAGGCCACGGGCGAAGCACATGATGCCTGGGTAGCGGGCCCAACATAACTCCATCCCGGGGACAAACATCTATTACATTGTCCCCCCATGACCATATTTCAACATACATTGTCTGGAAATGTCTGTTTAAAACAGTGCTAGCCGCTAGCCCTGCATAAGCAAAGCCATGTCTTGCAAAGGACAAAATAACAAGACAAGTCGGAGGACCAAACACCTGGTTGTGAAAGTTGTAACAAAAAAGGGTATGTGTGTGTTTTGTTTGGTGAGTCTCAGACTAGCCTACAAGATCCTGCAAGAAAGTGCGAATCAACAACCCATATAGCACCAGCAGCGCCCGAAGGGTGTCAGTGGCTGTTGGATGGAAGATGCATCGTCAGGGGGCCAGGGATGGTGGCAAAAAACACATGTCAATTCTTTCCAGATGCCTGTGTCAGAAACATCATGAGCCAACAGGTCTAACACTCCGCCCCCACCAAAAAGAGTCACCAGCCCTCTGCCTGTACAGGATGCAAAGCTGTGTGCACATAAATGGCTAAACTTAGTTGACCTTTCACATCCTTTCACCACACATGGCGTGACAAGTTCCCGGTTTTTCAGTTTGCCCCCAGTCATCGGTGCACGCTCTGCCTTTCACACCAAAACTATATAGCTTGCATCGAACGACGTGACCCCCAAGCCAATACCCCCCGCATACTACTCACTACACTCCCGAAAACTAACGTGGACCCCTAACAATGGGCCCCTGGAAGATTGTTTTCCTCTACCAGGCAGTGGTTTTCAGGGTCGGGATCGTCGACACCAGGGTGTCCACCGCCTCAGATCCAGCGGAGCCCAACCCCCGACGCGTCGATGCCTAGGACCCCGAGCCGAAGAGCACCACGAAAATGCACACCTCAGGGATGCGGCAGCCGCGGTCGCGAGACGGGTCGCCGCTATGTCGCGCGATGTCGCGCGGCAGCTGCGGCAATCCGATGGCGATTGAGACATATGATCCCCACACAAAGTATGGTCCATCTGATACAGGTGAGACAAGGTGTTAATGATTGGTGCCACGCGTCCACCGAGTCCACCCACCAGGTTTTAAAGACCGTTTTTGTTCCCTTCCACACACGTTGGAAAACCGCCCCATCGTCCCGGTGCGTTGGAGAACGCCGTCCCCTCGTGTCCCACCCCGCCCTCCATAGAGTAATTAAGCCGCGTGGCACGGTTGCCGCCGCCCTCGGAGAAGTCGGCCAGGGTCCATTCTCCTGGAGGTGTTCAAAGGTTCAGAATAGCTGGAGGACAGCGATGGTTTCCTTAGATCCTTTCTTAAGAATTGTTTCGGTGTAAACTCCGAACTGCCAAACCCTGACGTCGGGGTTTTGGAAGGTAACTCAAATGAGGACCTCTGGGTTCCAGCGTTCCAAACAAACATCCGGTGTTCAATCTAGGCAAGTGCAAACTGGACATTGAATATCATTGAATTAAAGGTTATTAATGAGTTTTATTAAATTTGAAACCACCACCCAGACAAGTATCCCAAAGTGGCGCAGGACCAAAGGTGGCCACTACCGTGCACGAGGTTCTATAGGTACTATAGGTATTAATATGGTAACGGTATTATCCCATTTCCAGGGCCAAATGGATGATGATGGTTGGTAAGGACCTTTCTCGAACATAGTAATCTTTTACCGACAGCTATATTGGTAATCAGACACACTCTAGGGACTTGAATCCTAAGTTGGAGTGATAGGTACCGATGGGTACGGACCCTTCCGGTGATATGCGCTGTGCTCTTGATCCAGTCTTTCATTCTTTCTCGTTTCTTTTTTTTCGACTGTTTAATATATTTCAACCCTCCACATGAAGAGGTGTTGCAATCCAAATGGAGTTGTTTAATCTGCATCCTACATTCCACATGACATACCGAAGGTGGGCATATTCCGGTGTCGTCATGCTGGCGGAAAATGGCCTTCACCGCAGCTGGGAACTTCAAACGCGTGGCTCCTATCAAGAAGGAGGAGGTCCAGTACATGGTCGTGGAGATCGAGGTGAAGAACTCCTCACCGCTCCGCGGAACCGCGCCGGGCAACGAACGAACCACGCGTAGACGCAAGAGAGAGCGCGGGCGGGCGAACGATCGAGGAACGAAGGATCGCGACCCCGGTCGACCGAACTGGAAGGATCGGACCGAAGCGGGTCATGGCTGTGGGGAAGGGGTGCTTGACCGATGAACAGAAGCTCAGCTCCTGATTGGGGACTATCAGGATTGGGCTAAGGGTTTTGACCCACACGCATATTATGGATGAGTCGAGGTCTTACATGCCTGAGGTATTTGAGGGACGAAGCGCTGTAGCATCGAATGCTGCAGTAGAGGGACCCGGATGTTTATCGGCTAGCGTTCCAGGACCTCAACCCGTCGGTGGAGCCGTACGTTCCGCTGGTGTTCGCCGTCGTTAGGACAGAAGGCAGCTACCAGTCAGTGGTAGCTGTTTGTGGTGTTATGTCCAGTCAGCTTGGAGCTAGAAAATTCCAATTTGATCATTGAAAGTGAACCATCACCCTCCAAGACCAACCAATGGATGTGTATCTTCATTGGGAGACCCCCTGGCCCAATGGGTTTGTTTTGGTCTATTTCCCCGAACCTTCCAGGAGGTCGAACTGGGAGATCTCCCTATTTTAACTCACATCATGCAGTTTAAACATGAGGATCCCCATTCTTCAAGGCCATGTTGCGTTTGGGTGCCTACTCTGAAACCACCCCTGTCTACTTGGCCCGCAGGACGGGGAGGATGGGGGACGATGGTCAGGAACTCGCCTTCCAGCCGTCTCTGGGGTGCCTCCACAGACGTGAAAAACGGTAGATGACCTTTCAGGGTCACTGAGTTGAGCCACACCCACGGGATCATCCTGAGTTGGGCTCTCCACAGACCATGCGCGAACAGAACCCCTTCCACCAGTTCCGTTCAGTTCCAGTCGTGGGAACTTCCTGATTCTCTTGAGGCCAAAGGTGTACTAGTTCATTCACCAATCTTTTAGGATCCTTCAACACGCCATCTTCTTTCATCGATGTCGATTCTGATACCCTCCCAATTTCAGCTAACGTCACCTGCCTTGGAGGGTCCATCGTAGACGTTCTCCATCCACAGGAAGAGAGCCGAGACCATGATCCAAATGTAGAAGGACAGGAAGGCAGGCACCTTAAAGGCACGCCGGTTTCGGCACGGCGAGCGAACGGCCGAAACCTACGAACCGAACGATCGGATGCGACGATCGGGGCGAAACTGGCATCGCTACGATCGTAGCAAGAAGCTGCTAGTAACAAGAGTCGTCTCGGGCGACCTGTCACTGCTCTGCCAAAAACATCTGGTGACGCCCAAATGTTAACATCCACGTCTGGAACGAAGTCCGCCGTACTAGACACGGCACAGATTGACGCCCCCCCAAAAAAATTAAACGCGCCAAAAACGCGAGAAGCACCCTGAAACACTCACAGGTTGGTTTTGAGTTTCAAGTGGCATCAACCCAACTGAAGAAAAGGACATTTGTTGGCCGGAAGGTGCTGGTTTCCTGAAAAAGATTGAAAAAAGACTGCTGGCAGGTATCGAATGTGGCTTCCATTTTTGTGGTCGTGAAGAAACCTATATAGAGACCTGGCACCACACGAGTTGGGAATGTGCAGAATGCCCATGGAAAGCCTTCCTGTGATGCAGGAGTTTGTTCTTCACGAAATGGAGACCTTGCATAGATGACAATGCTGAATTAATTTGGGGATCATGTCTAACCACCTGTGTATCTTTACGAAATTGGGCCTTCCAAGACAAAACTAGATCAAATTACGGACTAAAACAAATAGACATAGAACAACTGACCGTCAACTGACCCCATCAGTTTCCCCGTCCACCTGTCGAATGTTTCCTGGGGTGCCCCCACATGTTTTAACCTGTCGGGTGACCTTGCAGGTGATCTCCACATACTTCCTATAGGTCCTACCCAGACGCGACCCTGGACCCTCATCGGGTCAGGGGTTAGGGGTCTCAAAAAGCCTATAGGTTTTGAGGCACCAGTCGGGCTGTGAACGGAGCGTCTGGGTAGGTAGGATAACCCAGCAATTCAACTAAACATGACTCTCCGCTCCGATGCTTTACCTTGTCTCCGTGCTTCGTCCCTTCGCCGCGGCTTCGAAGCGACTTTCACCGAGTGGCCACCAGAATGGGGCCTCCGCTCGTGGGAAATGGCCCGGAAGATACGGCACCAGCACTTTCCAACAGGTGGTTTCTGGACACCTCTTAACCACTAAGAGGCTATTTATAGACACCTCTTGGAAGGTCTGGCAAGGCACTCTGAACTCAAAGGTCTTTGTGTATGGGGTCCATCGTTCCAATACAAAGTGAGGGAAATCATTGACGGTGGAGAAAGAAACAAAGCAAGTCGATTCAGGGCAAATGATGTCTTCTTCAGTCAAAAAAGTACAACACTGCCTAGGTCGCCATCAAGACACCATTAGCCATTTGCTTCAGGAAGCTTCTTTGGTCAACAAATGGAGACCCAGCTCAGATACCAGCACAACGGCTCCAACAGTCTGGGTCCATCCCAAAAGGGCACGGCCGGGCACAGCGGCTCTGCGTCTGGGTTTCTGAATTTCTGTCCACCATCTAGTTCCTATCCTGTTCGATCCTAAATGACAACCCTACGATCCTCTCTTTTATCAGCGTGCTCTTATCAATGCCTATCAACCAAAATCCACCATCCTGTGATTGATCAGAATGCTCCTCTCAATGCTATCTCCCAAGCCTCCGTCACTCATGCACGCGCACGCACGCGCGTGTGCGCGAGAGGCAGGCCCAACGATGGCCTGCGGAAGCGATTCCATCAATGACCACCTGGACCTGCGTGGAAGCGATTCCTCCGTGATGACCAGGGCTGGGGCTGGCATCAGTCTGTTGGAGGCTGGCCGAAATGGACAATATTTGTCTAACATGTTGAAGAGAATAATATTAAAAGACTACTAAAAAGTATAATCTGCTATAGAGCCCACCAAGAGTGGTTAACATAAAGACCCTTTACCCCTGAAGGGGTCATGAATGGACACTTTGTCTGAACAGGACGCTTTGAGTCTGCATTGTTCACTTTTTTACTACTATCTAACTAGTCTTGGTTTGTTCTCGAACGGTTTTAGCATGGATATTCCCTTTGCATCAGCTGTCAGCTGTCGGGTTTTGGCCCATGTCTCAGGACCTGCCCCTGCAAACATTGACTTGTGGTGATTAAGCACGGGTCAAAACCAGACAACAAACAACAGATGCAAAGGGAATAGCCATGCTATCCACCCCCACTCGTATCTATGTTTCCGGCACAAAGCGCTGCAAACCTTAGAAGCAAACAAATGTGTGAGTAGCATATTATATATATACCGACAGTTGCTTACATGTCATTTTGTATCTGCTGACGACAAACGACGCAAAACCAAGTGAACTTTGTGAACATAGTCTATACTCTGGGTCTCAACATCTGTGCACCGCTTCAAGCCTTAGTGCGTGATAAAGGAAACAAAAGGATTTGAAACAATTTTTTGAGTCTTAATGCCGCGCCCCTGTATTGACCTGTGAAGTGACAACTGTCTCTGATGTTATCATTGCCTTCCAATATTTATTGTTAGCGATTCAGTGACGAGTTGGATTTTGGAAGACCAGTTCTTGTTCATGTGATATGCCGATTTCTATGTTAGTTTTCATGTTGTCCATGATATGTTTTTGATTTCAAAAAGTTGTTCCACAAACTTATAAAAACATCCTTACCCCTGTAAAGACAGGGCTGGCATGCATTATCAGTTGAATTCACTACGTTCAGCATAAACCCACATGGTTTATGTTCCTTTTATGTTCTTTCAATACCATTGTCAGAGGTAGTTGTTAAACACTCAAGGTCTCCATACACTAAGGGACGTTTGAATTTAGTGTTGAACTTGGTGAATTCAATATACTCACCTTTGCTTGAACTCGCCTTCTTTTCGTTGATTCCAACTTCTGCCAACCATCAAAGCTCACAATGTATGACTTTGTCAGCCAAACCATCAACAGGTCTGCGCGAATTTGATTTTCACACCATCGTCTTTGATCCCTTTTCCGTCTTTATCTTGATCCAGCTGGCCATGAGGTTTGCATCATCATCTAAAATCATTATCGGCAGCTCTATCCAAGCTGAATCTCTCAAGCACTTATATATCTACGACTGGTGTGTGCAGTTGGACAGCATCAGAACATGCGAGCCGAGGAAATCCAATGAAATCACTTCTGAAATGTTCTCTTGGTTGTGGTAGAGGCTCGAATTCCCATTTGAACATTTTGTTTTTTCTACGAAAATATGCAGCGAAAGCACTTTCACCTCCAAATTTGTGGAAGTCACAGTTTGTCCACATCGTGCACAAAACAAAATTATTCCTCTGCTTTTGTCCATCGATCGCTCCACAACAAATGACATGAACTCATCGATCTTGAGTTCCACGAAACCTGGTGGTGAAGCGGAATTGCGTATGGCTCGATATGTAAAGGCTATAGACGCTAACCGTCTACGCAGCTTTAGCTGATGACTTGAAACATACTGTTTGAACCCATATTGCACCCAACGCGCAAGCCACCAGCGCCTGGGAATTCTGAGTTGAGTGACAGGTCATCACCGATGTGTGTTGTCTTCAGAACAAAATCTTTGACATTGAGCCCCATCCTTCTCAAAAGCCTAAACGCCATCAAAATATATGCAGCAATCATTGGCAATGCTGTTGAAAGTGTCCGTTATCCGGATGCCGCTGCACTCTCCTTGGAGGATCGCATTTTTCTCTTCTCCACATAAATAAACAGTTTTTCCCAAGGCTTCTAGTTCCAACAATTTTGTGATACACTTCTCTGTCTTTTACATGCTGAATATTTGTCAGAACTCTTTGTCCTATACCTCACAAAAACATTTGTTGATGCCTTGATTTCAAATGGGTGTTGAATCCGACCAATCTATCGATCCGCTGAAGGTGGAAATTCATGTATCTTTCTTCCAACCATCATGTTCAGGTAGGAGCAGAGATTTTTGGCCCCTTCTGCGGCCCTTGTTGGGTGGCCTAAAAAGGTCTGAACGTTGGAGATTGCGCTCGAACTTTGATGCCACTATGTGTTGCTGGATGTAGACATTGCGCTACCTGCGAGGAGCAATCTGCCTTTGGCGCTCTCAAATTTGTCTGATGCGTAAGCCATCAAGCTTGGCCTGTGCTCCTCGAACTGTGTTCTCATATCGAAGTTTATATTTTCTTTGAAGGCTTCCCAGGATATTGTTCCTAAAGCTGCTCGTCGATGTAACTTGACTCTTCTTTGATTGGTGCCACATGGTGCCACCTCAATGCGCATCAGATGACCCATCCGCCTTCCATGAAGCTCTTCCTTTGAACGTTCGCTGTGGAGAAAAGTTCACATCACCTCCGAGCTGAGCACATATGACATCAACCACGTCTTGAAACTCATTGTCGCAATTTTCCTCGCTCCATTCGTTGTTCACACCAGGGTATACACTTTAGCGAGCGACAGCGAGCTCACTTTTCTATGGCGCAGTGCAGTCTATGCGCGGGCTTCAAAGTCTTGAGACAAAAGCAAGTGAATTGAGCTGTAAAGCTGCATGAAGAGTAATGTACAAGATAACTCGGAATGGTACCCGTGTGAGGGTCAACTTGCGCGGGCCCGCGGGCCCGACACTTTGTGCAGGCTCGTGGGCTCGCGGGCTCGGCGCGGCACGGGCTCGGCACACGGGCTCGGCGCGGGCTCGGTGCGGGCTCGCGGGCTCAGCGCGGGCTTTGGCCTTCTTTCCGCGCCCACAACCAGTCAGCATATGCTATAGCCCAGCCGGCTAGAGACTTCGTCTGCTTCGTCAGCCTTGCCAGCTTTGACTGCATCAACATGTTGCAGTATTTCCAACACTCTTTCCCATTGTGGAGTCAAGAACCAGATCAAGCACAATGGCACAATTTTGTGAGTACTGAGTCTCTGACTCCACTTATGACAAGCCTTTTTCTCTTTGCTTGGCAAATTCAAAGTCCTTGTTGAAGAGGCCTACAAAATCGAACAAAGTCAAAGGGCTATTTTCCTCATCGATCTTTGAGAAGTATTTCAATCCTCTTTTGTTCATCCAGCTACATAGATCGTTCGTTGTTTGACATTGCGATGAACTGCCTGATGGTCACAAAATCACCACCATTGAGATTGTCCACACCCGGCAGCACTTTCTTTTGGGTCTTCTTGTGACAAGCACTCCAGGCTTTTTCAGAACTAGGATTATAAAAAACGTTCATATGGTAAGGCCAGAATCCGTGGTTTAAAAAAAACAAAAAAGTCAACTGGAAAAGTCAAAGTCAAAAAAAACGTCAAATTGAAAAGTCAAAAAAAGGCAAAAAAAGGTCAAAAAATGTCAAAAAAAAGTCAACCATAGACCACAGCTCGAAAAAGTCCAAAAAAAAAGAAGTCAAAAAAAGTCAAAAATAGTCGAAAACAAGTCAAAAGAAAAACATCGAAAAAATAGCCAAAAAAGTCAAAAAAAGTCATCAAAACTGTGGCTCCTCGCCTTGGCGGATTACTGGAGTCAAGAAAAGTCAAAAAAAGTCAAAAAGTCAACCGTAGGCCACAGCTCGAAAAAGAAACAAGTCAAAAAAAGTCGAAAAACATTTAAAATCAAAACAGTCAAAAAAAGTCAAAAAATATCAAACTGAAAAGTCAAAACAAGTCAAAAAAAAAGCAAAAAAAGTCGGATCTGGGCAAATGGACTTTTTTTGACTTTTTGAAATTTGCTGATTTGATTTTTTTGACTTGACTTTTGGGATTGACTTTTTTTGATTTTTTTAAATTTAGAAAACAGGCTCTTTCCAATGAAAGTTTGAATAAAACTAGGATGATATGGCCCCCATGGCAACAACTCATCACTCATCTGCATAGCTTCTTCAACTGCATCTTCTTTAATCGAAAACATGAGATCTCTCAATCTTTCATTCAGTTCTTTCTCTTCCATTGCGAGAGGACTCTCGCTTTGAGGGAGAATCATTTTTTGAGCTCATTCTGGCAGCTCTTTACATCAGCGACTGGGAAGCTCTTTCGAAGAAGCCTTTAAGCATGTTTGTAGCCGCTCAAGCAATGACTCACAACTGGTTGGCCTCGCAAACATGCAAAAAGAAGCTCATAGAGTCCTCATGATGGAACGAGGGATCACATGAGCAACAAGCGATACTGACAGGGGACGAAACCCTCGACAATGTTCACATGGCTTTGAGGGACTCGCTCGCTTTCTGACTTTGACCGATAATAACATCAAACAGTTAAAACCATGTGGGCCATTCAAACACAAAGGACCCCATCCATAAGATGTTGCACTTGGAGACCTGCCTTCTGACATCCCCTGACCATCACCCCTAGCCCTCGCCGGTTCAAGTCAACGTGCAGAAAACGCTGCGCGGCCTCGTTGCGCCACTGGTGCCAGAAGAGGACGCGGATCACGCGGATCCTCAGGCGGACCCAACGCACAGCGAGACGTTTCTGGGGCCCACATGGGCCAAAAGGTATGAACCTAGGTCTTCAAACGAGCAGAAATAAGTGCTCAACCTGCGTTTCGTAGCACTTTCTTAAGAATCGAGCACTTTCTGGATAAACGAGCAGTTTTTGTAAAACGCGCAGTTTCTTGCGTGTCCCGCGCATTTTTTCAAAGCCGCACTTCGAGCGCAAAATTCCGCACACGAGCGCAAAAAAGCGCACACGAGCGCACTTTGGAAAACTGCACCTGTTTTTGCTTTTCTTCATTTGCAGCTCGAGCACTTTTTTGCAAAACGAGCAGTTTACACCTCGAGCACTTTATTTCTGCTCATTTGAAGATCTAGGAATAAAATCATCTCCATGGTCCAAATTGATAGAACTCTACAAATGTTGAAAAGCCGAACACAAGAACAGGTTCCTAACATCTACAGAACATATCAACCCAATTCCACGTACCTTGGGCCAACGGAGAAAGGAAGAACAAACAAAAAAACCCGACTCCAGACGTGACGCAATGCCGCCGACCCCGGCCGCCCGGAGGGATTCGGGATTCGGAGATCCAGTTGGCTTCAAAACGCTTCTCATCTTATGGAGGGATCGGATAGTCTGACACTTCTCATCTTATGGAGGGACTGGACTATGATGGTTACTGAACTTCAAAACACCAGATAGTCTGAGACTTCTCATCTTCTCTTCATGCACTTTGGGTGTTTCACCGCCACGCCGTGCCCGATGGATTCGTGGTTCCGAAAACGGTCGGTCGATCGGTCGATCGGGTTCCCGGGCATCTGAAAGGCACTGAGCAGAATGTTCATGTCCTCGCGCGAGAGAAAACTCGTCAGGGTGGAACATTCGTTCGGCGCATCTCTATTTGTACTGAATTTTGATAGATACAGACAGACAGACAGACAGACAGACAGATAGATATTGATAGATAGTGATTGTTCGAGCCCTCATCTGCATAGGGCTGCCTGGTGGAAACAAAACCGGGTCAGTTGCTATACAACCATTTTTAAAAATGGGACAGACCTGGTCTTGTAATGTTTTGTAATGTAAAATTATTGAGTAAAACGATGGTGGTTCGGTAAAGGCCATTAAACCATAGTGGCCCATATTGAGCTTGCCATACTACAAAATAAGAAGATGAATGGCCCCCCGTGTGGGTCGCAGAAATCAGCAAAACCGATGCCGCATCGTTAACCTCTCCTCTCCTCTAGTTTCCCTTCCCTTCTCTCTCATGTACACGCGCTTTCCCTCTCCTCTCCTGTTCTTTCTTCTTCATTTCTCCTTTCCCTCTCCTTGCTTTCCCTTCCACTTCAAACTGCATTGACCTCTTTTCAGAACGGGCCCCGATATCACAGCCAAGAAGTGTATGGCACAACCCTTGCGTGCCCCATCACCCAAACCCAGTTTTGCAAGGTGACAATGATGGTTGGACACAAAAATAGCGCAACTCATGTCCCTCTCTTTCTCTTTCCCTCTCCTCACCTCTCCTTCACCTCTCCTTTCCCTCTCCTTTCCTTCTCCTTTCCCTTTCCCTTTCCCTTCCCTCTCCTCTCCTCACCTCTCCTCTCCTCTCCCTTCCCTGAGTGAATCAATGATGGTTGGAAGCCTGAGGGTACATGAACACATCCTGAGCATTGGCTCTTGCAAGCCGAACCAAACGGCATCTCGTCAAGGCAGGCTTTGCCTTTGGACGCTCTTGCTTGGGCAGGTGCCTTCACCGATCACTGGGTCGTTTCCTGCTTTCAACACGATCACTGGGTTGGCAAAAAATTGTTGGCAAGAAGCTTGAGCTCAACTCTCCAACTCGCTCTTGAATTGCTGCTCAAGACCGCTGCTCATGGGTCGAAGCGCTTCAGCATCTTCAGCATCACTTTGGATCACTGAAGCTCAAAGACGTACCAAACATGAACAGAGAGAACTTGATTTCAAGCATGCAAACAAACAAGGTTCTTCTGCCATCGAATTCGAGAGGCAAAACAGATGAAGTGTTTGTCCCAGGTCTCTTCTGCAAAGTCCAGTTGACCTCTGTGCTACAGCATGAACGCCGCGAGGACATGCCATCATTGCCAGAAGAACATATGATAGGAGAGCTTTCGAAATATGTCAGCGGTGCTTGCCACAGGGCAACGAATGCACAGTTATTGGCGCAAGTGTGTAGTACGCTATCTAAAATCAAATCGAAGACTAGGGGAAGAGACTCTGAGGCAGCCAAGGCACGGAAAGAGGAATACTATGAGAAAGCTTCGAAGGCGACGACGCATGAGAATATGTGTGCCACATTGGTCTCTAGGCTAACTCATGACACAGTTGAGGTGTCTTCTCAACACAGCGCAATCAGTCCTGCAAGGAAGCGGCATCGAACAAAGTCTGCCGAAACTCCTCCAACTGTCAAAAAGGAATCAGACTTGTTGAAAGTTAAGCAAGAGCATTCATTTCCTGCGCCACTAGAATCAACTGGAATTCCTGCCCGGAAGCGTTGCACCTACTCGTATCCAGATACCACAAATGTGAGAACACGCAGATTTGTGCAAGATTTGGGCGCCCAAAAGTTAACTAGGCGCGCGCCCTTCGTTCCGTTGATATGTTTATGAGGGAGCACGCATTAATGCTGTGGATTATCGAGGGTGAGAAGTATTTACGTTTTCACGATGGCGATTGCTGGATGCTGCACAGCAGTGGCGCCTTCCAGGGATACAAGGGAGTGCCTACAGACTCTGGAAGGGTCCAAGCCTTTCTGTTAGCGTTGGAAGGTCTTTTCCGCAGACTCCCTGAAGATGTGGAACGAAATCCGGACGACTTGTTGACGCAATCCAGCGGATGTGGCGCGACGATAACGGAAGCGAACAGCAGTTCAATGAGCAGTGTGTGAAGGCGGCAGTGTGCAACCTTGGAGACAGTTTGATTCGAAAGCAACGCGGTGATGATGATGGTGAAGTGCCATGAGAAGCCATCCTAAGACATTGGCGTGTGCATGCTGCCAGGTTTGTGCAACAGTTGAAGAGCCGTCTCGCGAGAACTGACAGAAGAAAAGCTGCTCAACTACATGATTGAATGGTGCGATACACCAAGGAGCGTCACCCCTGGATGTTGCTACGAAGATGGCTGCATTGTATACTTTGGTGGAGGTGTTGCACGCCAGGCGGGACCATAGAAGACAGCCAAGGTTAAGTAGGAAGTTGCTTTGTCAAACCCCAATGATCATAGTTATAGTTCCAAGATTTCTCAGGTCTAAATGGCTTTGGGTGAGTGTAAACTGACATCAGAAGATTGAAACTTTAGTGAGTCAACAGAGCATTTGAACTGGAGTTGGATACTTTGTAGAATTAGCACTGGAGGCACATTTGGTTTGATATCGATATACACAAGGCATGCCTTTTTACCTGCCGAGAAGGAAAAGAGAAATGACGGGAAGGGAAGAGACAAAAAAGGCTCAAGATCAGCAGCGGCAGTTGAAGCTGGGTGTCTTTCCTCTCACCAGGGGTCAGGCCCTCCATAGCAGGGCTTTGGACCCTCAAAACCCCAGGCCCTATCTGTTTGAGGGCCCGGATTCTTAGGGCAGTGTCTTCTATGCGGGTTCCCCTCCGCATGGATTGCAGTGTGTAGCGCCTCAGTGCGACGGTTCCCTGGATCGCTGTCCGTCACCTTGGCCGTTCGGATGGGCTTTGAGGTTCTGAGAATTGTGCAGAAACGTCCAGGCACTTGGGTTCGATTCTGTGCAGTGCTTCTGTGAGAGATTTGACCAGACACAGCAGGAGTAGGGAACGTGGGAACGTGGCCGGGGCACAACCGTTGCAAGGCTGACAGATGTTCAGCCAGAAACAAGTTGTTGACCAGTAGCTCAATGGGCCAAAAAGACTGATCAAGATCAAAGATGTTTTGAAGCAGCAGGGTGGCTGTGTTTGTTTTTGCAGAGTCAGGGTCTTGAACTGGAAAGGCAGGCTATCAAGGTCCTGGAAGCATAGGCGTGGTGATATCTAGTCTTCTCAAGCCGATAAGATGCTCGACAAGTGCAGCAGAAATCTTCATCCACGTATCTTCGCTTGCTTTGCTTGGATCTTCCTCGTCTTCGTTTTCAACGTTGATGGCTGTAGCTGCGCGGCTCATGTTCTGCCGAAGATCTCGAGGAGGCATGCCACAGGCCTCACGCATGACTTGTTCAGTCAAGCCACCATCACCGCCCCAGTATGCATAGCTTTCGATCATCCTCGCACATTCTTCCTGAGTGTGTTTCAACTCGAAAGCATTCTGAACTTGAAGCGCAGCTAAAATTGCAGGGCCCGATGTGAGGAAGCTTTTCAGTTCGGAATCTTTCGGATAGACGCCGTCCCTCCAAATGTCACTGTAAGCTCCTGGGAATGGTCACAGATACAAAAAGAATCGACGCATTGCGTCACCCTGTCGTCATCCCCAACATTTTAGAGCATATCGAAGTAAGATTAAAATATAGTGCTCAGCATTGCTCAGCAAAAACATTTGTTAGCTTGAGTCCTTCAATGGCTTCTGGATCTTCAAAGCGTGCTTTCACTCACCAAACGAAAGATCTTCTGAGAACAGCGTTGAAATCCTTCTTGCTGACATCCTGGAACTTGAACATTCGGTTGGCTTCAAGCCTTTTCCAGCCCACTCACTGGATCATCCTGGTTCGTAACCCATATGGCTTCCGGCCTGAAATGCCTTCTCCACTCATGAACTTCTTGAACAGGTCCTCCCGCAAGCGCTTGTTTGTTCCGGGCGTCTCCTGGCCTGACAATCACACGGTGCCACAATGTTAGCCACCCCATTGATTGAAAACTTGTTTGGTGCATGTTTCAACACCCAGCCTGTCAAAATAAAGCAACCATTGTGCTGCTCCACCTGCTTCCGCATCTCGTCTTCATTCCGCCAGATGTTAGGGTCAAAGTATGCAAAGTTGTTATTGTACATTGCCTCAGGGGATCACAGCGTTCTTTGGGAAGCCTGCCTCGAGATGAGCTGAGTACAAAGATTGCACCACACCACCAGAAGACAAACCAATAAAGATCCGGACGACGACGTTCAAACCACGTTTTGCCAGAGATTGTGCAGCTTGGCAGCATTTGAAGGCGTCAATGTTGCACCAGAATGTTTGTCTGTAAAACTTATCCAATCTCTCCATGACATTTGCTGGCACTGATCCCTTCAAGCAGTGTGGAATTCGTACGTTACATGTTCGAAACGTTTTGTCGGTCCTCCTGGCAGGTAAAGTAACAAGGTGATGAAGTCCTACATTGTACTTTCATACTGCGCGCGCTGTCAAGACACACTCATAATTAATCTGAACCTTAGGTAAACAAAAAACAACAACTTTTTGCATACATTGTATCTTTGGAGTTCGAATCTTGCTGGAAAATGCACCTCACCCCCCTGGCCGCATCCTTGCACTCCGAGTCCCTCAGCACTCGGCCCCGTGGCCACCGCTCACGTCCTGAATCCATTCCTCCTCTTTCGCTTCGAGCCTCGGTCGGACGTCGCCGGGCCAAGGGGTCGAGTCCCAAAATCCGCCGGCGAAGGTTCGGTCGATCCTATCCTGGACCGAGCGGAGAGGACAACGGAACATGAACACTCAGGGTTGGACCAGAGGCATGAATGCCTTCTAAGTCAGACCTCTGCCTAATATTTTGCGGTTTGAGAGGAAGAACAGAACCAAACTACCGGACTATCAGACATGGTTCAAGCTATCAGCGTGAGTTCCGGGCAACCCGGGTGAAACGAGCCACCAAAATCTCAAACGATGACGCCAGTTGATGGATGGCCTGCCAAACACCAGTCATGGGGCGGCCATAGAACCGCAGTCCCAGATAGGTCATCTTTGGGATACCACAGGTGGCGGTGAGACATCTGACGCACAGGGAGTGAAAACTGGAGGACCTACTGATTCTCTTCTGGAAGCATATGGGACCAACGTTCTAAATTGAAAAACGATCCCCAAGTCCGCCGACCCCGGCTGAAGGAGGGGGAGCGCGCGAGGGATTACAGGTGCGGGAGCCTTGCGCTTCTTCGTCTCAGCACGAACCTGCAGGCAACAGACGCTTCCACTGCTCGATGCTGCTCGAACACATGCATCAGTGGAGCCGCAACCTATTGCGCTTCTTCGTCGCAGCACGAACCTGCAGGCAACAGACGCTTCCACTGCTCCATGCTGCTCGAACACATGCGTCAGTGGAACCGCAAGCTACAGCAACATACGAACCCCTCTGGCGGTGGCTCACAATGTCGCGGTCGTGCTCCCTGAGGCCCTCACCGAGCCGGAAGCAGGGGTGGGCACCGAAAGTGTGACCATGGGAGGCTCGGAGGGTCGTTTTGGATCAGACTTAGATTGGAAAAAGCTGTGGCGGGACCAGGTGTTCGGGGCCAAGATGACCGAGACAAATGGAAACAAACTTTTTTTTCTAGGGATTCAGAGGCAGCGTTTGGCACCCAAAGTGCGACCATGGGAGGCTCGTTTTGGATCAGAATTAGATTGGGAAAAGCTGTGGCGGGACCAGGTGTTCAGGGCCAAGATGACCGAGACAAATGGAAACAAACGTCTTTTTTTCTAGGGATTCAGAGGCAGCGTTTGGTACCCAAAGTGCGACCATGGGAGGCTCGGTTTGGATGTTCGGGGCGAAGATGACCGAAACAAATGGAAACACACTTTTTTTTTTAGGGATTCAGAGGCAGCGTTTGGCACCCAAAGTGCAACCATGGGAGGCTGGTTTTGGACCAGAATTAGATTGGGAAAAGCTGTGGCGGGACCAGGTGTCCGGAGCCAAGATGACCGAGACAAATAGAAACAAACTTGTTTTTTTCTAGGGATTCAGAGGCAGCGTTTGGCACCCAAAGTGCGACCATGGGAGGCTCGTTTTGGATCAGAATTAGATTGGGAAAAGCTGTGGCGGGACCAGGTGTTCGGGGCCAAGATGACCGAGACAAATGGAAACAAACTTCTTTTTTTCTAGGGATTCAGAGGCGGCGTTTCGCACCCACAGTGCGACCATGGGAGGCTCGTTTTGGATGTTCGGGGCCAAGATGAC